AGGAAAAGTGTCAGCTAATGTATGATTATAATACTGTTGAAAGTAGGTAAATAGGAAAAGTGTTAGCTAGTGTATGATTGAAATACTGAGGAAAGTAGGTAAGTAGGAAAAGTGTCAGCTAGCGTATGATTGAAATACTGTTGAAAGTAGGTAAATAGGGAAAAGTGTCAGCTAGTGTATGATTGAAATACTGAGGAAAGTAGGTAAATAGGAAAAGTGTTAGCTAGTGTATGATTGAAATACTGAGGAAAGTAGGTAAGTAGGAAAAGTGTCAGCTAATGTATGATTATAATACTGTTGAAAGTAGGTAAAATAGGAAAAGTGTTAGCTAGTGTATGATTGAAATACTGAGGAATGTAAGTAAATAGGAAAAGTGTCAGCTAGTGAATAATTGAAATACTGTGGAAAGTTGGTAAATAGGAAAAGTGTCAGCTTGTGTATGATTGAAATACTGTGGAAAGTTGGTAAATAGGAAAAGTGTCAGCTAGTGTATGATTGAAATACTGAGGAAAGTTAGGTAAGTAGGAAAAGTGTCAGCTAATATATGATTGTAAAACTGTTGAAAGTTAGGTAAATAGGAAATATGTCAGCTAGTGTATGATTGAAATACTGAGGAAAGTTAGGTAAATAGGAAAAGTGTCAGCTAGTGTATGATTGAAATACTGAGGAAAGTAGGTAAACAGGAAATATGTCAGCTAGTGTATGATTTAAATACTGTGGTAAGTTAGGTAAACAGGAAAAGTGTCAGCTAGTGTAAGTTGAAATACTGAGGAAAGTAGGTAAATAGGAAAAGTGTCAGCTAGTGTATGATTGAAATACTGAGGAAAGTTAGGTAAATAGGAAAAGTGTCAGCTAGTGTATGATTGAAATACTGAGGAAAGTTAGGTAAATAGGAAAAGTATCAGCTAGTGTATGATTGAAATACTGCGGAAAGTAGGTAAATAGGCAAAGTGTCAGCTTGTGTGTGATTGAAATACTGTTGAAAGTTTGTAAATAGGAAAAGTGGCAGCTAGTGTAAGTTGAAATACTGAGGAAAGTTAGGTAAATAGGAAAATTGTCAGCTTGTGTATACTGTATTCCAAGAAATGTTCGCGGATACAATATTTCGCGTTTTTCACAACGTCGGCATTTTCGCGGAGACAAACTTTCGCGGATATGTACTAACCGCGAATTCCGCGAATGTTAAGTCGCTACGGCCTAAATTACAGTTTTTGGAGGTTACGTTTTTGATGCATGACCTTGCCTGGTGGGTGCTTTAATTATTTTATTTCAAGTCACCCCTAAAGCGCAACGTTACTCGATACATTTTCATCTATTGACTACTCGAACAAGGACGGTTGTTCCGTCAACACTTTCATATTTCCTTACCTTTTTCATTATGTTATTAAGTAAGATTTAGTCAGACCAGTTAGCTTTTATTCTCATTTGAATAATAACTGACTCTATCTCCAAAATGTAGATACGTATTTTTTTTACACATTATCGGACTGTACGTCGCTTTCATTTAACAACATAACAGCTGTTTATCAATGTAGCACTTGATCGCTATTGTACTTTTAACAAAGGATTACACCTACTCCAAGCAAATAAAATCCAAGTCATTCAATGTTCGCAAACTGTAAATGCGTTTGTCAACGCCGTGACTAGCAAATAACGTCAATAAGCATGATAATTACTAATAATTGATATTTTCTTTTTCAACGTGAAAACTAGTATCAATAACATACATAAATAATTCTTTACACATTTCTCTAAAACCTGTGTTTATATGTTGTTTTGTGTAAGTAGATTATAATAGATATTCTGCACTTTTTATGTTATATTTGGTTGAAGCTAGAAATGTTCGCGGATTTGTTATAAGTGACATATTCGCGGCTATAAAGATTCGCGGAATCATGCCTACCGCGAAAACCGCTAACTTAAAAAACGCGAAATCTTTTCTAGGAATACAGTAATTGAAATACTGCGGAAAGTAGGTAAATAGGAAAAGTGTCAGCTAGTGTATGATTGAAATACTGAGGAAAGTTAGGTAAATAGGAAAAGTGTCAGCTAGTGTATGATTGAAATACTGTTAAAAGTAGGTAAATAGGAAAAGTGTCAACTAGTGTATGATTGAAATACGGTGGAAAGTAGGTAAATAGAAAAATTGTCAGCTATTGTATGATTGAAATACTGTTGAAAGTTGGAAAGTTGGTAAATAGGAAAAGTGTCAGCTAGTGTATGATTGAAATACTGTTGAAAGTAGTTAAATAGGAAAAGTGTCAGCTAGTGTATGATTGAAATACTGTGGAAAGTTGGTATATAGGAAAAGTGTCAGCTAGTATATGATTGAAATACTGTGAAAAGTTGGTTAATAGAAAAAGTGTCAGCTAGTGTAAGATTGAAATACTGTGGAAAGTTGGTAAACAGGAAAAATGTCAGCTAGTGTATAATTGTAATACTGTGGAAAGTTAGGTAAATAGGAAAAGTGTCAGCCACTGTATGATTGTAATACCTTTGAAAGTTAGGTAAATAGGCAATGTGTCAGCTAGTATATGATTGAAATACTTAGGAAGTAGGTAAATAGGAAAATTGTCAGCTAGTGTATGATTGAAATACTGAGGAAAGTAGGTAAATAGGAAAAGTGTCAACTAGTGTATAATTGAAATACTGTGGAAAGTAGGTAAATAGGAAAAGTGTCAGCTAGTGTATGATTGTTATACTGTTGAAAGTAGGTAAAAAAGAAAATGTGTCAGCTAGTGTATGATTGAAATACTGAGGAAAGTTAGGTAAATAGGTAAAGTGTCAACTAGTGTATGATTGAAATACTGTGGAAAGTAGGTAAATTTGAAAAGTGTCAACTAGTGTATGATTGAAACTGAGGAAAGTAGGTAAATAGGAAAAGTGTCAGCTAGTGTATGATTGAAATACTGAGGAATGTAGGTAAATAGGAAAAGTGTCAGCTATTGTTTGATTGAAATACTGAGGAAAGTAGGTATATAGGAAAAGTGTCAGCTAGTGTATGATTGTAATACTGTGGAAAGTTAGGTAAATAGGAAAAGTGTCAGCTATTGTATGATTGTAATACTCAGGAAAGTTAGGTAAATAGGAAAAGTGTCAGCTAGTGTATGATTGTAATACTATTGAAAATTAGGTTAATAGGAAAATTGTCAGCTCGTGTATGATTGTAATACTTAGGAAGTAGGTAAATAGGAAAAGTGTCAGCTAGTGTATGATTGTAAAACTGTTGAAAGTAGGTTAATCAGTTGATGTATACTTCTAATACTTTTTAAAGTGTGTAGATAGGAAAAGTGTCAGTATACTTATAATACTTTTGAAAGTGTGTAGATAGGAAAAGTGTCAGCTAGTGTATGATTGAAATACTGAGGAAAGTAGGTAAATAGGAAATGTGTCAGCTTAAGTGTATGATTGAAATACTGTAGAAAAATGGTAAATAGGAAAAGTGTCAGCTAATGTATGATAAAAGTACTGAGGAAAGTAGGTAAATAGGAAAATTGTCAGCTAGTGTATGATCGAAATACTGAGGAAAATAAGTAAATAGGAAAAGTGTCAGCTAGTGTAAGATTGAAATACTGTGGAAAGTAGGTAAATAGGAAAAGTGTTACATGTAGCTAGTGTATGATTGAAATTCTGTGGAAAATAGCTGAAAATGTTTGCAAATGTACTAGTTTAATACTGCGAAAAAAGAGGTAAATGTAAAAGGAAAGTAGTTTTTTATATGCTGAGAAGTTGCCTTTTACTTGTGGAGAATGTAATTTAAGAACTATTAGAATCTCAAGGAACATAGTTTAGGTAAACTGTTTGAAATTGTATGATAATTAAATCATGCATTGTTGAGAGTATAGGTATTTAAAAATTTGATTGATGTATGTTATGGTATAACACAATTATGAATGACAGACTTTTATCTTATAATACGATCAAAGATTTAGTACCAGTACTTAAAGTGGGTTTGTCTTCATGCATGAAACTGGAAACCCAGCAATGACTGAAACCTGTTGAATCTTTATAACACCCTATCTGTTATGAATTTGGAACTGTCAGTTGACTTAATCAGGGATATAATATTAAAAATAATATATAATTGAACAGCCAGCCTGGTCAGACAGTCATTAATATAGTTGCTGCCAGCAATATTATATTGTAAAGGTTAGTTATAAATAGTAGTTTTTCAACTAAATTGTCACAGAAATATAAATGCCATGACCAGAATTTGAACTGTAAAACTGTTACTGTATTCGTCTTATTAGCTTACTAGTGTGAAATGAATAAATGGAGGTAAAAAGATTTTTTTTAATGATCTATACTTGCACATAGTTAGTACAGAAAAACTGTTGTAGTGGACATGTAAAGTGTATATATATGCTAATTGCATAAAGTTGTTAAAATAAACAAATCTGATACTAATTAATTTGACAGGTTATATCTGTTCTCTATGGTACTACACAGATGTTACTGTTTGACTACCAAGTGAATAATCGTACACAGTAGATCATGATTATCTGTAGTATAGATGTACGATGGTGATCTGGCAGATGATGTAGAACTTACTGGTGATATATTGAGTGAATTATATCTTGAACTATATATAATTGAAGGGTTACTTGTGACTTTAATGTAAAATGTTTAGAGACAAATAATTTTATTTAGGTGAATTTGCTTATTTTAGTTATGCGACAAAACTCTCCATCCCTCACCTAGGCATTGTGGTGAAAATGAGTAAAGTTTCAGCCTTCCATCTGGCCTAGCACCAAAATAAGTGGGAGAAAATTTTTGTCCAATTGGCAGTGCAGGGTTATAGCATGTAATGCATCGTTCTGTTTACAGCTATATGCCAGACAAATTGTCATTCTGGATCTATACTTCAGTTTTCCCCCCTTAAGCATGATATTGTTCTAGATGAATTTATTGATAACCTCAGGAATTATCTCTCTTTATAATATTTACCTTTAGTCAGAGACCACCTATATTTTGATACATTGGTTTTGATTTATTTTCAGCCAGAAGATATTAATGATGGAGAATTCATGGCCCTGGCATCTACAGAGAATTTATGATTGTGTTAGAACTGTTTTGACATCTGCTGTCAACTGTTAAACATTTTTCAACCTTGCTGTCAACTGTTCATTATTATACTGTTTCTCACTTGCTGTCAACTGTTAATCCACTGCTTCTGCCATGCTGTCAACTGTTTATTAATCCACTGCACTGGGACTGCTGTCAACTACTGACTTTTAATCATGCATTTATAATTGCTACAGTGACTGTCGACAGACCACATGCTTGTTTTCTGTCTGATGATGAAAGTTTGGACATTTTAAATCACTGTGCTGTTAAATGTCACAACTGGATACTGTCAACTTTCAGAAGAAAAGAACAACAACTAGTTACAGTAAGAATTTGAATTATTTTTCTTCTCCAGGATAATTTTAACAGTGTGGTTTTCATCAGTAAACGATAACTTAATTGTCACGATTTTAACAGCTGTCAACTTTCATCAGCTTTTGTACTTTTGTGTGCTATCGGCTGCCACTGTGTGAATTAAAAAAGTTATTATTTTTTGGTCAGCATATTTAAACATGCAGTTGACAAATATTGACAAGTCATCATTTATCAGAAGTATACTTCACACTTATCTTTATCAAAGCTGGTGTATAGGATAAACCTCATGGGAAATGAGCTATAAATGTTTACAAGTATTTAAAGTAGAGAAAAGGAAAGCAAAAAAACTTTGATATATAATGAAATACTTGAAATTGAATAGCATCATTACATAGAGGATTTACACACGATTTTATTGCTAACAGTTTTCCAGGATGTTAAATATGTTGAAATTATGACTGAAATATTAGTGGGATATTGGACTAAGGATGGTTAAAAATTTGTTAATAATCAAAACGAGGAGTTAATAACATAAAACTTTGATAATAATTGCTTTTTCTTGTCAGATTTCTCTTACTGAAGTATGACAATGAAATAGTAAGGATAAAGATTGTGAAAGTGCTTTTTTAACAGAAGATTTTGACATTAATTTTGTTTGTAAGATTCTACGAAAAGAACTTAAACAGTGGATTTTTTAATATCTTAGTATGTTCAGTGTAACATTTCTTTCTTTTGAAAATAGTAAAAAAACAACAGAATTATCTCATTACCTATAGGGATGCATTTTTCTTGTTAAGGTAATTTGGTGCACAGCAATCCATTGAAATTCAACATATAAGATTGGAAGTTGTGACATTTTAGTGGAGATATAAATTGTGAAGTTTTAATTACATTTGTTGAGCATTCAGGAGAGAGTAGTTTTGTTTATTATAATAAGATAGTGTAGAGCTGTATAATTTCAGTGTACTTTAAAAGTTCATGACGTGTTTGACCATTGGTGGAGCCTGGATGAGGAGAAGTTACCCACTATACACCTCTCTGCATAGAAAGTGGAGAATTTAAGCAATAAAGATGTTGGTGAAAGAGTACCGTATATCGCTGCCCATGAGCGTGGAGGAATACAGAATAGCCCAGCTTTATATGATACAAGTAAGTTTGTCATATCATGTCTTTTTACCATTGTCATCATGGATCAAATTACCAGACTCATTCTTCACCCTAAGCATGCTAGCGGACTACTGATTCTCCTCATACAACCAGTGCAGACCAAGATCAGCCAGCAAATCTGTGCCTTATTATCATGGTCTGCACTGTTTGCTCATTCACTACATATTTTGAAATTTACCCTAAAAATGATTTATAGTCTTGTATAGATTGTAAGATGGGCAAGTTCTTTAAAGATATTTAGCATAGTAAGGGTTAAACAGTGAAATATGAAATCATTTCTAGCTGTTGCATGTTTGCCCAAGTATATTAAAGGTAGGACTGAAGCTTTGTCAATCTGTTTTGTTTGGTTTTACGGTGCACAAACACAATTAAGGTAATATGGTGCCGAAACAGGAAAATTGATTTTGTCTAACTTCTTAACTTAAAGCAACGCCAGGAGTCAAAACCACCTCATCTGCTGGAACTAAGAGATGCATAGACTCCAGTAATTCAAACCCATTTAGTCACCTCTTACAATCACGCAGGGATAAATGGTGGCTCAGCAATTCTGATGCCTCAACCATTAAAAGCAACCACTCAGCCACAATGGGGAATTTGTGTTATGATAACTTAGAAAGAGGGATTTTTGACACTATTTAATGTAAGATTTCTGGTGCCGATAGGGAGAAGTTGTGAGAGCTTTGTGGAGATCAGATATTTTTTGTCAATTATTTATGTTGGGGTTATTTTCTTTTGTTGTGGTTGCTAACTAGAAAGATCTGATAAATCATTTTAGCACTGTTTTATCAGGGAATTTAGATCAAACAAGTTAGAGGGGGAATTCTAACCGCTGTTGATGCTGATCTTGGTCCATGAATTTGCAGACTATCCTCACACAATACCTTTAAGTGCCATAATGGGTTAACTCCTATTAAAATTTAAAATGGGTTAACCCGTTTCTGCACTAAGGGGAAAATATATTGATCACATTAATAGTACAATATTAGAGTGTATATCTAAGCTATATGTCTACTGAAAAAAATTGAGAAAAAGAAAACAACATTTTTCAAAAATACTTTTTTGAAAGAAATATGTTACTATACATTCATATCCTGAAAAGCAAATGGCGCATGATGAAAATTATTGCTAAATGATTAAAGCTCTGCTAAAAATAGCAGCATACTAACATGTTCTGGAACATTTTATTCTGTCATCATACATTATACATGAGTGATAAATGGCAGGGAAATTATTCTATATGTTATATTGTCTCATAAGAAACAACCATAAAATTATGGAACAACATTAAATTTAATAGTTAATTGTATTTTACAAAAATACTTCATTAAATGTAGCTTTTATATACTCCCTTATGAAAAGACCTGTCAATACACATTTAGCAGGCAAAATATTTAAGACAGAGATTGTAATATGAAAGCCTCAGGACAATGACCTGCAAAAAGAACATATTTACAGTTATTATCCTTAACTTGTTTAACATTTTCATAACTTGTTGAAAACTATACATGAGCATCATATCCTGATTTTAACATATGAGCCGCGTCACGACAAAACCAACATAGTGGGTTTGCGACCAGCATGGATCCAGACCAGCCTACGCATCTGTGCAGTCTGATCAGGATCCATGCTGTTGGTTATCATTTTTAGCTCGACTTTTCTATGAAAAGGGGAGCTATCCTACTCGCCCCGGCGTCGGCGTCGGCGTTGGCGTCACACCTTGGTTAAGTTTTTCGTACCACCCCACTTTATTTCAGAAGTATTACAAGTATGGCTTTGAAACTTACCATACTTGTTCACCATCATAACCTCCATCTACAGACAAGAGTACATAACTCTGTCAAGGTTTTTGACAGAATTATGGCCCTTTTTTGACTTAGAAAGTGTATTGAGCTTGGTTAAGTTTTTTGTACCACCTCACTTTATTTCAAAACCATTGGAGGTATTGCTTTGAAACTGACCATACTTGTTTACCATCACGACCTTCATCAACAGACAAGAGGACATAACTCTGTCAAGGTTTTTGACAGAATTATGCCCCTTTTTGACTTAGAAAATACATTGAATATGGGTAAAATCCACTTATTGCCTTAACCCTTTGAGATATTGCTTTGAAACTTTTAATGCTATTTCACATCATTACCCCCATCTGTACGCAAGAGAAGGTAACTCTGTCAAGGATTTGTTTTAAAAATTAAGGCCTTTTATCGACTTGGAATCTTGGTTAAGTTTTTAGTACCAGTCCACTTTTTGACTGAACTGTTTGAGATATTAATTTGAAAGTTGGAATACTTGTTTACAATCATGATTCCCAAACATGTCCAGGAGAAGGTAATTCTGTCAAAGATTTTATTTGAATTATGGCCCTTAACTGTCAATGTTTTGTATTATAGGCAAGCACTAAAAAACTTAAAAAATCTAAAAAAATTCATTCCTATCCACTTGTTCACTTTACCATAAATTATGTCATATAAACATTGCTGTAATATTCAAGGGTATCAAACAACTAGTTATTTTTCTCTTTTTGTACTTGAAATTAAAATCAGTAGTATATGCATATTTCACATTTTATCTCGCCTATTTGATTGGTGGACAAGTTACACAATTCAGTAAAATAATTCTTCACTAAATATCTTAATGCTCATGGCCATTGTTCACTTTAAAAATACAGAGATTCTTGTATTGCCTTTTACTGCAAAAACTTTTTTTATTGGCAAGCAATAAAAAAGTCGAGCGCGCTGTCTTACGGACAGCTCTTGTTCTACTTGTTATAGGGTTTGTAAGTGAACAGCATGGATCCTGATCAGACTGCGCGGATGCGCAGGCTGGTCTGGATCCATGCTGGTCGCAAACCCATTATGTTGGTTTTGTCATGGCATGGCTCATATAAATAACTTGTACTGAGTGTATAAAGTCAGAAATATGAAAAAAGAGAAAAGTTTTAGACTGACACTAGGGAATGTGTCATGTTTTTTCGCTTGTAGGAGGTCACTTTTGCATGACTTGTATAATTTCAATAATGTCATTTTCGCACGTTTAAGTTTCCTGCTACCAGATGAGTAAACATATTCATATTAATAGTAAACATTTGATTAAAGGGAAGAAAAATGTTGTCATTCAACAATGAAAATGGTGGCGAAAAATGGTTGTGTCATAACAGCGAACTAAGAATGAAATAACAATCTGAACATCGAGATGTCTCGATCTAATTATCTGGATGTCTTGATCTGAATATCCAGATGTCTGGATCAGAACATCTGGATGTCTGGATCTGAACATCTGGATGTCTGGATATGAACATCTGGATGTCTGGATATGAACATCTGGATGTATGGATATGAACATGTCTGATCAAGATATGCGGATGGTGATTTCGACTCCAATGATTTCCCCCCACCAAAAAAACAAAAATAATTCCAGTGATAATTGAGAATGTGTACATTTTACAAAAAGAATTTGCTATATTTATTGAACAGATTTAGCACTCTTAAGGTACTACTTTTAAGTGACTCAAGAATGTTTGAGTCAGTATGACTACTACTCTAAGTGTTAGCCGACATCCATGCTTAACCTATTCCTATTGTGTTGATCCATGTTGATATATACTCATAGCACAATGTATCCATTGTTTTAACTTAAAGGAGAGATTATAACAGTTCATTTCAGAAGTCATTTGTAAAGTACATTTTCCCATTAGAGTAGCCACGATTTTCTGACTAAAACGCCTACACCCTGGTTAAGATGACACTAGTCAATAAGGTCAAACAGTATAAGTATTAGTACATTTTGTATCATGACAGATGCATACAATTTTATGTATAGGATATCGAGCGAGGTCTTTCTGTTTAGGAAAGACCTGGTCACGAATTTCATGTGACACCGAGAGCGCGTAGCGCTCTAGGTGTTTCATGAAATTCGTGACCAGGTCTTTCCTAAACAGAAAGATCGATGTACGAGGCCTATATCCAACTTACACACCGTCAAAGTATTGGCTTCTGAAACATTTGATGTAATGCACAAAGATTATTTTTTTAACACAGCTCATTTACAGGTAAGCTTTTATCAACGTTCTGCTTAAATATAATATATATTTTGCATTTAAATCAAAAAAATAATCAAAAAGGTAAATGTGCAATTTGTCAATAATAAAGAGAATGGGTCTGTAATGGAAGGTATGTTAAAGAATGAATAATTATGTTGATAGTATTTCGTATAAGACATTGCAAATTCTAGGAATTTTGCCCCCTCCCCCCGAACAGTTGTCCTCTCGGACGCGTGCCCCCTTTATGTTGTGGCGAATTGTTACTTGTCAGAGGTCATCTCATGTATGAATATAATGTATTTTATTTTATTTATTTATGGATGTCAATTTGTTTTCACAAATTTGCGCAGGTTTTGTTTATTTAAGCACAATTAGAATTTCGACAAAAGGCGATGAATTTTTGTAATAAACAATTCAAAATTAATTTTTAACATTTTTAAAACATGGGGGGGGGGGAGCAAACGCCCAACCCTTCCAAAGATATGAAGGGACAAATGTCCGCTACTGCAAAAAGAGAGAAAACTTCCGAGGGAACAACTGTCTGAGGGGCAAATGTCCAGATACCCAGCAGACCAGGATATACTTACATATGTATATTGTTGGCAAGTGTGAGATACATGATCCGATTATAAAGTGTTATAGAATAAAATATGATAGCTCATCATATAAATCGTTATACTAAATCACTTACAACTCTGTATTAACATTTCTTTTTCAAGAGTTCTTTTAATAATATCGGAATCGTTTCTATCGCTATTTAAATAACTAATGGGAGATGTGCCCAATGTAGACCAATCAACTTTAAGAACTTGTATAAATATGCATGTCACTATAAGCAAGTTTTGGATTATACATGTATCTTTAATGTTGTAGAGTAGCATTCTTTGAAACTAAGCCCTGGATTCGAAGGTTTTCAGGGGAACATTATCTTGTTTAAAAGAATGTATCCAGATTTTGTAAGACAGGAATATTATGACAATCATTTACATTTTATTTTCATTTTCAATTTTTGATTGCATTTCATGTTTTCTTTGTCTGCGCATAAGCAGGTCTATTTTTTCACGTTTTTTTCATGACCGGGTCTGTCTGACTAGAACAGACCTGTGCACGTGCAAAAGATAGACCTCATAACGGACTTTCTTTTGTTTAAACAGGTCTATCCGAAAAATATAGACCTGTCACAAACAATAGAGGAGGTGTGTAAATACTATTATCATGACACCATATCTTCCTTATACCCTGTGGTGGTTCATGCTCCAAATGAAAATTGATAATGGTAAATCTTGTCTGCCAACTTAGCCAACTTAACCTATTGATTGGTGGTGGTGCTCTGGATCACGGCAGTAAGCCACATTGAATTTACCAGAGCAAAGTTCAGCCACTGCATTGTTCCTTGGCAGACTGTCAAGCAGTTTACCAGTACCAGTTGCTTTTACTTTTTTGCAAGAAACTTAAATAACTTCTGTACATGCCAGACATTTCACTGTTAATTACAGTTGATCTTTTTCACTGCTGGTGAAATTAGTAGTTAGTCATTTGTGGATTAATTTGTAATGTCCGGTTAGTTATTCTTGCAAAGGCAGTTACGTGAACCGACTGCCAAGATATGACCCAAATTGACCGACTGCCATGATATGACCCAAAATAAGTTAAAATCAGCGTAAAAAACTACCAAAATAACAAAATAAAACTTGTCCTTATCAACTAATTAAGATATATTTTTATATACGTTACTAAGTGTTCTAATCTAGGAAGGGTCAGTAAAGCTGCATGCACCATTGCCATAATTTTCCATGCTGTATAATTACAGGTTTTTAATTCACTTATATATATATATTTATAATGCCTTTCAATCTGTTGTGCTGGAAAAAAATAATGAGACCTACATGTACATCTAGTTGTTCAATCGTTTTAACATATGCAATAAACTTAAGTGAACAGAGTTACAGCCCTTTGATTTAATACATTAAGTGTACTCTTAACTTTAACATAATTATTTGTTTTGTTATCAAAGCTTTGAAAATGTTGCCTTTGCACTTGAATGCCTAAACCAAAAGTGAACAGCCTATCTCACCAATATACATGTAGAGCCTCTCTTGTCGTCTGACAAGGCCCTTAACTCCTGCCTGAAACTAAGCCGTTTAAAGCCGTTATAAGGGTTAAATGTGGTAATAACGTATGATAATTATTGTTATTTGATTTTATTTACAGAGAAAGAGTAGAGAAGAAAGTCATGGTGCAGGGAGTGGAGTAGAGATTATAACAAATCAGCCGTACACTGAAGGACCAGGGGGTAGTGGACAGTACACATATAAGATATATCACATAGGAAGTCATTTACCAGGTAATAATGTGAGGTTTTATTGTATTCTCATAGTTAAATGATGTTAGAAGATGTATTCAGAGCTTTATGATTTTTGTTCGTGCTTGAAATAATGCACCGAAGGGCACCTGAGGTCTTCCTCCACCAGTAAAGCTGGAACGTCGCCATATGATCTATACTGTGTCAATGTGACATAAAACCCAATCAAACAAACAAACAATCAAACAAACTTAATGATTTGTGACACAGAGGTTGTCAGGCCTGACTTTTTTTCACCCTGTATGTAACCATAGCAATATATCTTCAAATGTTCTTAAAATGTTTTCACCCTTTTGCTTTTCTATGAAAATATACAATTTTGAAAATCTAAAAATGATTATAACTAGCATTGTTAATAAGTGATTGGCTATTAAACTCTCTGGTTGTTCCTGGATTCTGTACAATTATTGACCAGTTTCAGTGCCACATGTAAATTTCACACGAAATATATTTTCTTGCAATTAGAATGGCTTGATATATATTGTATTATTTTGTATATATTGTCTTCAACGCAGTCCTCATAGGGATCATAGTTATCATGTGGTGCATATTTCGATTCAAATTGCCGTCTCTTATATCGGTAGACGTAACATTCTCCGGTTTTTATTTCCTGCTAACTTTCTTTTAATAGTAGAATGAATATATTTTCGGTAAATAACCAGTCCAATTGCCAATTTTTTATATGAAATCAATATCATTTTATTGGCAACAAGGACTTGCTCATTAGTTAGATAATCATAAATTGCTATAAACTGAACTTTAGTACCGTTGGAAAATAGACTCCCGATCAATAATATCTTTTGTGTTGTTAATTAGCTTGTCGTAAATTTTCTGTTTATCAAAATGAATTTTCCTAATGAAAGGGACAATATTATATACATAAATAACAGCCTCTATTGTCATTACTGCTGAGTAAAAATATCCTTTCATAACCAGTCTAGGTATGCTGCATTCTCATTGGCTGAATTTGCTGCATGATTGACCAATGAAGAGGCAATTCCAATGAGTCTTTGACTGGTTTACAATTATGAAGAGGATAAAATTATAAAGATTTAAAGTAAAATTAGCAAAACCATTTGGCGAGTCCATTTACAGACTATTTTATATTAAAGGGATACACAGGCAAATTAATGACAAAAATACTAAAATGATCTTTTGAACACAAATCACGCTTGAATAACATGTATGAAAGTATCAGCATGAATTTCTGCATAAAATCTTTATATTTTGGGTTTGAAGCGTAAGTACATCTATATATGTTGAACGAACTTGAGACGCCGATAGAATCACAGAGTAGTTTTAAAAGAAGTCATACGACTTGAACAAACCCTTGAAGTTACAAAAACAGATATTGTGGATATTATATGATTATAACAAGTATAGCCCATTCATTTGACATATTTTTTAACGTTTCCAGAGTTCACTGTGACAACTATTGTGAAAACCTGACCCACGTGGGTCAGGTTAGGTAACCACCCTTTTATTCTTTATAAGCAGAACAGTTTTGTTCTTGTGACTGCCTAGTGCATTCATTTTGAAGACATTTATCAAATAATGAATGAAAAATTCAAAACGAAGAAATGAAAATTTTGCCCGTGTCTCCCTTTAAGGTGACAACAGACACTTTCCGTGGTAATCACATAAATGTCATTTAAACCAACTTATTTTAGTAATAATTGTTATTTATTTAATCTTTGTGCATTAAATGTCGTTGATCATCATTAAAAATAACATATTTGAAAAAATGCCTTTGTAAATGATTGATTTTTAATAAAAATCCTAAAATTTTAAATCGTCATATCAAAGTCATTTTTTATTTTTTTGTCATCAAACTTTTGGAAAATAAACATACTTATAATATCTGGGGAACCGTGTCTCAAATTTTTTCTATCTTTTCTCAAAAAAATATTACGTAACGTCGAACATTTTATGCGACTTTTTTCACCATACATATTACGTAATTAAAGATAATTAAGTCGCTGATTGAGCAAACAAAAATCCCTGACACGGTTCCCTCCGTAAATGAATTCCCTTTCATGTGCTTTAAACCGCATGTTAATTGCTTGATTATTAAAAAAGTTATGCCGATTCAAAGTTAGTCCGACCCGCATCAAACGAAGTGTCATAAATCGGCTGTTCTCTCTCGGACCCCTACGTTTCACGCTAAATAATTACATAATACACAAATATCGCACCAGAGAGGGTCACAAGTTGCGGTAACATACTCTAACAACATTTTATGACCAAGTGACATCTGACCAATTAAAAAGTTGCTGATTAATATCAGTTTATAACAGAAATTTCTTCAAATCTTAACGTGATTTACCGTCAGTCTGGTATCGGTTGCACATGTCACGTGACTTTCGGTAAAATTTGAGGCACTCGGTGGGGGGAAATGGGACGTATTTGTGCACCGCTAGCGGGGTATTTAATTGTTTCACATTTGAAGTTTATTATTATTATCATCAGCATTATTATTATATTATACCAGTGTCACTCTATCTGTGTACTCGTGTATAAAATTCCGTTAAAATATTAATTAAAATAACAAAAAAACTGAGCTTCTGACAGTCTTTTAAAGTCCATGGTAGATGTACAAATAAGAACGGGATTTTATATATTTTTTCCTCCAAATTGATATAAATGCTTCACATATTTTAATAGAAATAAAAGGTATCACTCGATCATTATGATCTGACCTTCTTGACTTCTATTATCATGAAAATCATCTATGCACGGCATAGAGATCCAGTTTCTACTGGGATATACAATAAATTCCAAACTTTCTCCCAGGTTTATTAGTACTGTGTTTGATTTACTAGCGAACAATTTATTCAAAGCATTCACTGATAATTTATTTTATTATCTTTTTTTATTGATTCATAGAGAAATAATCATCCTTAGACAACCTAAAATGGTTTAGAAATTTGTCAGGGAGACCTTACCACAAGTCATATAGGCGTTCACATAAAAAATGTTGTCTGTTTTTGTTGTTGTTTTACTTGACATTGTTAGAAAACGAGGTTGAATGTAAAGCAAGCCCTTGAATCCGTACAAAAGTCCATAAACTCAATGTAATATCTATCAGATTAACGGGACAGACAAATTATTTTCACACATTATGGATATTTTAGCAACTATATTTTTAATCAACACCGTGGTCGTGCGATTTAATTGTCGCTATGCTTAATTATTTATGTTTCATACATTATGTTACGTACACTGGCCGACAATTTCTTATTTTATAAAAAAGGCTAACTAAAAGGTAGACGATATTCATAAAAGATGTACGGTATTTGTACGATACATGAATTACAAGTAGTATGGACCAGTATGGACCGGTAATTCACGCATATATGGAACTACCGATTTCCCTCATTGATGCCTCAACAGGGGGCGGAGCGTTATCGATAATTGACAGGTTACGCGATAGCAGATAAAAATAGTACAGGAACCGTTTTAAAACGTTTAAAAACACATTTTTTGGACTAACTGCTTCCAAAATTAAATCACGAATGTGTTCAGAAAAGGTTAATAAATATACTAAGCAAAAAATCTCATTTTAGGTATTTTCAGTGATAATTGACTCCGTTGTCACCTTAATGATAACTGAAAATGATTAGCTTTAACATAAGATAATGCTAAGTAAACAATCTCTTATAATACAATTTCAATTTATTGATATAAATAAAAAGCATTTTGTTCAAAGTCTTCTTTATATAGTGTATAATATAGTTGATTGGAAATAAATTGCTGAGTTCCAACAGTATATTATCCAGGAGTTGATAAAATATTCTGTTTAATAAGGAAGTCAATTATACCTATAATAAGTAACCAATACTGTTATTATCCCCCGCCGAAAATTTTCGGCGGAGGATATAGAAATAGTCTCCGTTCGTCCGACCTTCCGTCCATCCGTCCGTCCTTCCGTCCGACATTTTTGTCCGGAGCATATCTCTAAAACTATTTGAGTTATCAACTTGAAACTTCATAGGTGGTCAGACCTCATTGAGGAGGAGTGCAGTGCACAAGAATGATAACTCTACCTTGCATGATTTTTGAGTTATTGCCCTTTGTTATTTTTCAAAATTGATTTTTGTCCAGAGCATAACTCCAAAAGCCTATGAGATATTAACATGAAACTTCATAGGTGCATAGATCTCACTCAGGAGGTGTGCAGTGCACAAGAATGATAACTCTACCTTTCATAATTTTTGAGTTATTGCCCTTTGTTATTTTTCATACCTAATTTTTCACCTGAGTGGAGCATAACTCAAAAAGTGTTTGAGATATCAACATGAAATGTCATAGGTGGATAGATCTTATTGAGGAGGAATGTTGTGCGCAAGAATGATAACTCTTCCCTATACAATTTTTGAGTTATTGCCCTTTGTTTTTTTTTCATGCTATTTTGTCCAGAGCTTATCTCAAAAAGTATTTGAGGTATCAACTTGAAACTTCAAAGGTGGATGGATCTCATTGAGGAGGAGTGCAGCGCACAAGAATGATAACTCTACCCTACATTATTTTTGAGTTATTGCCCTTTGTTATTTTTCAAAATTAATTTTTGTCCAGAGCATAACTCAAAAAGCCTTTGAGATATCAAAATGAAACTTCATAGGTGCATAGATCTCACTCAGGAGGTGTGCACTGCACAAGAATGATAACTCTACCTTTTATAATTTTTGAGTTATTGCCCTTTGTTCTTTTTCATACCTAATTTTTCAATTCAATTTTTTTCTCAAAAAGTATTTGAGGTATCAACTTGAAACTTCATAGGTGGATACATTTTACTGAGGAGGGATGCAGCACACAAGAATGATAACCTACCCTGCATTATTTTTCAGTTATTGCCCTTTGTTATTTTCAGCCATCAGTATTCACATAGGTTTCAAATCTGTAATCACTATAGCCATCAGTTTTCATTACCAAAAGACCTCTTAAAATGGAATTATTCCGCTCTACTACATATACATTCTTCCAATGAGCAAACACATTCGGCGGGGGATGGCCATGTTGACATGGCTCTTGTTTAATTTGTGAAATCAATTATGTACATTTCTAATAAGCATGCCCTTCTTTTAACATTTCATGAGCAATCAGCCTAGATTTACCATACAATTGTTTCTTTTCCCAAATAAATTATCAAAGTTGTACCCTCTCTAAACTTAGAATACACACACAGGTTTCAATAATTATAGGCCTATTCTACCATTTTATGTAGTAGTCTAAGTTTAAGAACATCTGAGCATCTGTTAATACTTGACCAATAGCTGTGGTGAATATCAAACAGGTTATGTATATCAAATTACATTAATTACCCTTATTACAGATATCAAAATATGGCACATTGCATTATTTCCTTGTAAATGCTTATGATTATGGGTAATAATGATTAATAACAGGAAAATTGATAAAATAGCTTTAATTAGTGCCAGAAGATTACAGACATACATGTTGTATACCTAGCTCAAATCTTTGGCTAAAATTTGAAATATTTGTTATAGAATATTTAGCTGGATTACATTATTAGAAAAAGCTAAATATAAAACAAACATTTAATTTTTTTTATTGTTTTGCATAGTTGGATCATTATGAAATATTCACCCCCTTCCTGGCCACTATAACACACTTTTAACCTTTTTGTACTGATGTTTATGCATTATATTGGTAATTTCAAAGTTGTGCCAAGAATTTAGCTGTTGACTCAATGAAAATTAAAAGAATTTGTGTTGTTTAAATAGCATTAAAAACATGTAATACATACAGTTGTAACTTGTTAAACAGTTGTAAACTGTTATTTTAGGTAAAATAGTTTGTATCAGCTGTTTTCCTTAATATGAAAATTTGGCAAATATTACATTATTTAGATTTTCGCAATTTTAAAACATTGCAATGTATTTTCATGTCTTTGCATCAAAAGTATGAGAGGTCTTGTGCAAATGCTCCAGCAAATATACCTGAAATCATTAAAAAAATACAGTTTTGCACCTGTTGAATATATTTTTTCTGTGAGGTTATTTGGGCATAAAGATTGACCCTTGTCTGGGTCATGCTGCCCTTATGAAGACTGGTTTATTGTTGTGTGTAACTCCAAAAGTAGACTGGTTTATTGTTGTGTGTAACTCCAAAAGTAGACTGGTTTATTGTTGTGTGTAACTCCAAAAGTAGACTGGTTTATTGTTGTGTGTAACTCCAAAAGTAGACTGCTTTATTGTTGTGTGTAACTCCAAAAGTAGACTGGTTTATTGTTGTGTGTAACTCCAAAAGTAGACTGGTTTATTGTTGTGTGTAACTCCAAAAGTAGACTGCTTTATTGTTGTGTGTAACTCCAAAAGTAGACTGCTTTATTGTTGTGTGTAACTCCAAAAGTAGACTGGTTTATTGTTGTGTGTAACTCCAAAAGTAGACTGGTTTATTGTTGTGTGTAACTCCAAAAGTAGACTGGTTTATTGTTGTGTGTAACTCCAAAAGTATAACTGCTAGTCATGATATTTTTAATGAATAGTAATCAGCATCTGAGTATTTTTTATGCAAATTTAATTAAGATCAGCAGAATTATGTCCCCTGATTAATCTTAAAATACCAGTTTTAGGCTATTTTTGTTTGTAACTCAAAAAGCATATTTGCAAGAACAATGAAACTTTCTGATAATTGTTGCCAGCATGTGATTTCTAATGCACCGGCATAATTTGATGCAAATTTTTTGGACTTAGGCAGAGTTATGCCCCTTGATTAAGCCAAAAAAAAAAAAAAACCTCCACAAAATCCCCAAACTTTTTAAGCTTGGCTATTCTTAAGAGAAAAAGTTCATGGTGTGGCTTGTTATTGCCTATATTAAGATTTCAAATTAACTATTTGCTAGAATTGTAGGAGGTTTGAAAAGATGGTAGGTCGATTTCAAAATTGAAAGGAATTATTCTGATTATTGTCGACATAAAAACTTGATTGAGAGATATTTTACTGGGAATTAATTGCTAAGACCTGATATTTTAATGTCTGGGAGCGGATGAATAATGTCGTCTGGCAAATAAGTGACTCAATACTTACATTATGGAACAGACAACAAAATAAGGAATTTAATACCTATTTTCTCCTTTGACTAGACGCGGTACCATCATTACTTGATCATGATATCCATATATTGCAGTACCTTGTTTCCTGTAGCAGACGCAATGTTTATTACATGATTACAATAAATGGACTGTGTTACAGTTTGTTATAGCTTTTTTACTTGTACTTTTATTGACAAGGCTATAGATTATATCCGGTAACTGATGCCCAGTCTAATATGATTTTAATTTCTCTTGTTTTATGGCGTTGCTTTAATAAGGCTTCTTTAATTCCTAAAAGATAGGCAATAATCTTAATGCAAGCTGCTTTAGGCACTGGCTTTAAATTGAAATGTGCATATTGATTATTTAGCAGACCTTGAAGACTCTTTTGTTGTTGGTGTTTTTATTTCTTGTCAAATAAATTTTAAGGGATTGTTTAAATGATTCATATTGGAATATGTTAATTTGAAATCTTTCTACACAGATACTGAAAATACCAAAGGCTTAGAATTAAGACTTAAATTAGCATACATAATGCAAATTTTTTGAAATCCCGTATCAAATATTCAGTTAAAAAAGTTGTGTTAATTTTTTATGAAAACTTGAAAGTTGTTTTAATGAGTTTAAATCTTTTAAAGTGTAAAAATTAGAAAGTTTACCTAGCTTTGAGCACATACTTTCTACAGAAATTACTTAAAACTTGAACTTAAATATGCCAAAATTTCTCTTATTTCATTTTTCTTTATGTATCAACTGAGGAAGCTGATTAAAGCGAAACATGTTTTGATACTTAATTTGTGTTGGTTTTTGATCCAATTGTCCTATCTTATTTCATTAGTAATATAACATGTTAGAAATATGTTGACAAGACTAGTGAATTCTGCCATATTTTGCACAATACATGTGCACAATACATATACTTATATTAGATGCACATAGAATATTACGACAATATTAGCATCACGTTTAAGCGTGCTGTGCGTTTTTATATGTTTATATGTTTATGGTCATTCATATGAGTTGCTTTCCGGTAATCAAAATTAAACAACGTTATTGAAGATCCAGTTCAATCTTTTGATTATTTAGTGTCAACATGAAAACATGTACACTCAAGTTTTACCTGCATCATTTTACTCATTTGTAGTTGTGCCGTTTTAAATAAATCCCATATAACTCACTGTAGTTATATACAAGTACATGTTTTTTGTTTGATTTCAGGTTGGTTCCGAGCTATTTTACCAAAGTCTGCTCTGCGTGTAGAGGAGGAAGCCTGGAATGCATATCCGTATACAAAAACACGGTACCGGTGCCCGTTTGTGGAAAAGTTTGTTCTTGAAGTGGAGACAAGATATCTCAATGATGGTGGAGAGTTGGATAATATATTCGGTCTTTCTCAATCTGAATTAAAAGAAAGAACAGTAGGTAGGAAACATATTGTTTGATGTTTTTACAATCAGTAGATGGGCCTCTGTTCCTGTCGTACAGCATTTTTAGTCCCCTACCGGTTTACCGGAGGGGACTTTAGGTTTACCCTCCGTCCGTCTGTCTGTCTGTCCGTCCGTCAGTTCGTCCGTCCGTCTGTCCGTCCGTCAGTCCGTCCGTCCACAAAACTGGATCCCGCGATAACGCAAAAAGTACTGAAAATATTTTAATGAAACTTGATATATGGATAGATGGCAGTATGGAGATTATGCATGTCTTTTTTTTTCTTCCTATGTTGAAAATTCTGGTTGCTATGGCAACAAATAGACTGAAAATATGACAAATTTTACACATAAACTGGATCCCGCGATAACGCAAAAAGTACTGAAAATATTTTTATGAAACTTGAAATATGGATATATGGCAGTATAGAGATTATGCACGTCTTTTTCTTTTCTTCCTATGTTGAAAATTCTGGTTGCTATGGCAACAAATAGACTGAAAATATGGCAAATTTTACACATAACCTGGATCCAGTGATAACACAAAAAGTACTGAAAATATGTTTATGAAACTTGACATATGGGTAGATGGCAGTATGGAAATTATGCACATCCTTTTCTTATCTTCCTATGTTGAAAATTCTGGTTGCTATGGCAACAAATAGACTGAATTTCAAGATTTCTTATTCTAGTTTTTAAGTTTTTTCACTATAAGTTCTTTATTTCTTAAGGTATTTTCTTCAAACTTTAAATATAAGTTGCTTGTCATCAACCATATCATATGTGGCAAGGTTTACAACTCTAGTACAAAATTTATCAGAATTACCTCCCTTGAACTTAAAATTTTCATGAAAAAAACATTGTTTTTTTTTAATAACTTCTTTTTCTGAATGTATCTACTTCAAACTTCATATAAATGTTTCTTATTGTCACTCAACATTTGCGAGTGTTCAATACTCTAGCAAGACTATTTCCAGAATTATGCCCCTTTTGAACTTAGACTTTTTTTTGAGAAATTGGTAATTTTTACTCCAACTTCTTCAATCATGATAGGATTTTAAAAATGTTATATTTTGATAACAGGGATGTTTAAAAAATAACTTTAGAGTGTCCTTCAGTCCGTCTGTCTGTACATAAAAACTGTTTCCTGTGATCACTTTTAAAGAACTTTTTCAACAAATTTACTTGAAATAGGAACCTAAGTGAATGGCCCTTCAGAATGTTGCTTGGGCTCTTACCGGTAGGGGACTTAATATGGATTGCTTGCAATACTATGATAATTGCTTGTTTTCTATCATTTTAATGGACTGCCACAAACACCAGTGAAATAACTTAAAATAATCAAGATGGGGAATGTTTTCTTCTCAATAAGGGAAACAATATTTTACTTGGCATTGGTCATACCTTCTTTTATGGCAGAAAACTTTATAAAGAGAAAAAAAACTACTGATAAATGGAAATGGTACTGTTTAACTGGTTGGAAGCGTATGATAGTATTTATCTTTGTATGAGTAATAGCAGTACATCATTTACGAAAAGCCTTTTGTTAGATATTACCATAATGATCTGTACATATGAAATTATTTACAGAATAATAAAAAAGGGCCATAATTCTGCCAAAAATGATGTAGTTACAAAATCCTGAAAAAGTTACCAAGGCACATAATTTTATGATGGCAATCATTTTGTGAAAATTTGGTTGAAATCCTAAACTAATGTTGACCTTCAAAAAGGAGTTTTGCACAGAAGAAGTTGTTAATGTCCAGCTAATACTCTCTGCCCACGGACTTCCACCAGTCTAATAATTGGAATACCTGATTAAGAAAATAACAACTGTGGTCCTTGCATTACAATATATTTCATCACAGTATTGTAAGCTGCAAGCAGGAACATTTGTAACCTGGAATAGCCCTTTGACTGATTGTGATAATATACCTTGGCACCTAAAGTCAGCCTAACATGCTTAAACTATATAACTATACCACAGCCACACCCTTTGTCTCTCTGATCTGTATTTTTATATCTTAATACATCTATTATTGCATGTTTTGTGCTCCAATGATTTTCATGATGGCCTATAGGTAATAAATTATACATTAACAAAAACCCTCTTGATGCAGGTTTTTTTTTCTTCTTCTAAAGCAGATGCCATTTAAGTGTGGCTACTCCCTGCTTTCTTTACAATTGAACTAAAATAAATTCTTCATATGAAACTAAATTGTCTATATTAACTGAAGAGAACTTAAGGTCAGATATACATACATAATTACCTTGTAACTAAAATAGTATGGTTTCAGAATTGTTTAAATGGTTCCCGCCTTTATGATCTTAATAGTACAATGTCATGATTACAAAACCAGCTGAGATGATATGTGCAGTCCCATGCAATTGCAACTCCAAATTTAATTCAATACTTGTTTGAAGAATTAACAAAAAGGATTGATTATTTTTTACCAGAAAATTAATATAGATCGTTTAATTTAGAAAACTATATGGAATTTTATGTCATATTGATCCAGAATGTTTTTACACACAAAATTCGAATTTCTACGAAGAAAGAATATGGACAAGACTATTGTATTCTTACGCCTAAAAAAAATAGTGCCTTAGAAACTGTTCTCATTGTATGTCATGGTCCAGAAAAAAATTATGATTTCGTATGATTCATTGCAAAATTCAAATGAAATATTGTGAAAGAAGTACAGTCAGAATGCCTCTGTGAAATGATTTAATGTCTTATGCATCCAAAATCTCTCGATTGATTACAAAGGATTTGAAGATTCTGTGAATTTTAGGGAAATAAAATTTTTGTAATCAGGAAAAAACACAAAAGACACAACATAATGCATTGAATAATCTGTTGGATTTTATTGGAATCAAAAAGTTTGAGAATGAATTACTTTAATTTGATTCTGTCCATTTGGAAGCTTATTAACCCAATTGATTATTTAAATTTTGAAATCCGTAAACCGTAACCTACTGTTTATTAATATAATGGGAATTGACCTGCTGTAAATTGGCACAGTTTAAAAGCTGCATGCCTCCAGATGAGCCAAATATTTCAATAAAATTAAACCTGAGAAAATTGTTTTAAGATTTTTGGAAAAAGTAAAAATATTCAAGATTTAAGAAATAATTTACTTGTTTTGTGTGATAAATGATTGATTTTTCAATATTTATAACCATATTTCTTCTGTGTTACTAACCCAGAAAAGGGTGTTTTTCGAACATTTTGACTTTATTTTGTTAATTTACATGGGTAAAGAGAGTGCTGCTTGTAATGTGTTAATTGCTTCCTTTTAGTTACCTCACAATATTTTACTTTTAAATACATTTCAAAATAATTTTAAAATAAGCATGAATCTGGAGGCGTGCTGCTGGAATATCAATATAAAAAAACAAACAAAAAAAACAAACTGCATGCAGTAGACTTAGGGGAGGGGGTGCAGGCTGCCCCGGATTTTATACTCAGGCAAATTGTTAGTCAGTTCCAGTTCCAGGTTAAGGGTTAAAAAATGTGTGATGGACTTGCCTTGAACTCCATAGGTAGGTAAACAATGTAGAATTTTGTCAGACTGCAGTAAGGTCCTAGCTGACAGACTGTTACACTGGTTGCAAAGTGAAAAGTCACTGTAAGAGATAATATTTATTCTTGAATCCTGCTGAATTTGTGTAAATTATTGTATTTTACCTTGCTTTGAAGTTGGATATCAGTCTTATGAATATTAGGGATTTCAATATTAAAAATTTAAGCTACCAACAGTATAGAGCCTGGTCAGACTGCACAGATTCACAGGTTGTCCTGGATACTGATAAATAAGACTAATCAATGCGGAAAGGGTCTAAAGAAAAAATTTGTCTGAAGAAAAAATAAGTAAAAATGTTTTAGTTAGTTTTAAATGATCAAAGAGAGAACAGAACAGAAATTGTGTTTAAGACACCAGTACATGGACATAAAATGCAATTCATCAATTCACAAAAAAAAAAAAAACTTGTACATAAAATACAAAGTCATATAAGAGTTTCTTCTCTTTTTCTCCAACAGTAATTCCAATTTCAACTATCAATGTCTGAGGGTTATTTTTATGGTAGGACAGAAACAAGAGACTTGTAACAGTATTGACATCTCAATAAGTTTCTATCATTATATAATGATTTACAACTGATATTTTCTTTCTCATTTTGATGAAATTTCTTACATAGTTCACGGTATCTAGATATTGGCTAAATTTGATGGAAATTGATCTAGTTGACTGGATTTTATTTCTGTGTTATTCAGGAAATGAAGAGAAATTCAGACAAAAACAAAATAGAACAAACATTTATCGATTTCAGAATTTTCTCATATTTAAAAAGAAGAGCAAGTTTTCCTATGTTAGATTGAAATTGAATTTTTTATTTGAAATCAATTTTTATGAAAGGCCTTCACAGCCTCTAGCTTACTTCCAATCAGTAATCCTTTGTCTCTGAGTTTAATGCCAGTGCTTTGTACTTTCGATTTATATGTTCAGAAATTATACAGCTAGCTTATGGAAAGACAGTGGTTCTGTTTCAATGCCTACCCATTCATGAAATAATGCAGAGGCCTTCATCCGCTAGTGCAGCCTGAAAGTTGCCATTTGACCATTACAGTGTGTGTTTGACTTGACTGTAACTCTAACCCCAAAAAATCTTAATGCTTCCCTATACAATTTTGTTGAATTTTTTAAACATATTCTCAAATTCAGACACCTGAATCAACAGTGTTTTTTCTTCTTGAAAGAAAGAGCATTATGGGACTTTAAATACAATATATGGCAGGGGCATGTTATGATGTAATTAAGTTCTCGGCTTTCAGGCAATTACAGAGAAAATTGTGTCTGAGAAAAATGTGACAGAATCCAAATGAGAATTAATGGGGAGATTTACTGGCTGTTACTGATAATTGAAACTGATAATGTTTTCTTACTGGTGCCAGAGAATGTGTCTATAGTTAGCTAAATACCATTTATGAGTAATATACTGGGGCTAAAGTTGAAATATAGAAACTGCCATCCAGTCTAGAGTTTGAAGCACTGCCATTGGCCAATTTTGAATTTGAGTTTTGAATAAGCCAATCAGATGCCAGAGTTTGAGACTGGTCTTCAGTTTCATTGATTTTCAACATGTCCATGTGATTTGAGTGTTTGACTTGACATTTGGAAGAATAGGGAGAGCTATTGTACTCGCTCATGTGTCTGCATCAAACTTTGGTAAAGTTTTTGCTTGTATTAGTTGGTATCTCAAAAATTTCTGATGGGAATGGGTTGAAAAATCACACACTTATTTAATGCATCAAAGCAAGTCACTGTAAAAGGCCAATCTTTCCAGTTTTTACTCTTTTATTCCAGATTTCATTGACATTGTAAAAGACAACATATCAAGTGGCGATTATAGAAGGGAGGAGGACCCTAAAATATTTGTATCCAAAGCTACGAATCGAGGCCCACTGAATGATAACTGGAGAGAAGAGTATAGTCAGTTGAGCAAAGTTAGTTCAGAAAAGAAAATTATGACTGCATATAAACTTTGCAGAGTTGAGTTTAAATATTGGGGAATGCAGACAAAAATTGAAAGATTTATACATGACATAGGTAATGTTTTTACATTGTATTTCTATGAAAGTTGTTAAGCTATCTATGATTATTTGCAAAATTTGTTAGAATGTTTACAAGATTGACATAAGAGCATGATTAAGTCAGATAATTTTAGATATCTTATCTTTACCATGCTAAATTCTTTGGTGGTCTTAATGCTAGTTTTAATTTGGAACTGTTGATTTTATCAAAAAGCTAAAATTACGTGAGCAACATTATTATGTATGGTAAGGTATGGTAAGTAATATGTATACTTGTTGCTGTTGGCAAAGGCCAGTCATAATGGCCAATGAAACAAAATTTTCAAACTTTACTTTGCTTCTAAAGAATTTATAGGTGCATGTTGCTAATAACATAAAGCTTTAACTATTATATAAAACAATATTTTGGTAAAGATATTTCAAGGTTCCAATAGACAGCATTGAACAATACAAATATAACAGTATATATAATATAGCCATGCCATGACAAAACCAACATAGTGCGTTTGGACCAGCATGGATCCAGACCAACCTGCGCCTCCGCGCAGTCTGATCAGGATCCATGCTGTTCGCTATCAGTTTCTCTACTTGTAAAAGGGTTGGTAAGCGAACAGCATGGATCCTGATCAGACCAGTGCAGGCTGGTCTGGATCTATGCTGGTCGCAAACCCATTATGTTGGTTTTGTCATGATGTGGCTCAATTATATCTTCATGAAGTGTTGATTTATATCTCCCTCAACAAGTAAAAGACAGGAAGTTGCCTGATGACTTTAACAAGAACAGATATCTAACAAAATCAAACTAAGAAAGAGAGGAACAGAAAAAAAAAAAAAATGAATTTAGATGTTTTGTAAAAAGATGATATTTATATTTATATATCTGTGTATGTTTAGGGTTACGCAAGACAATGTTACGAGCGCACAGACAGGCCTGGTGCTGGCAAGACGAGTATCATGGTCTACAGTTAGCTGACATACGTAAACTGGAGTACGAAACACAACTTGCTTTACAAGAAACAATGGCTGCGGCCAATGAAAATGAAGACTTTGTACAAAATAACGAAAGTTCAAAATCAACGAATAAGAAATCAGAAATAGTTGATAATTTGACTGCTAGTTCTGATTCAAAACATTCGTCCAGTCCCAAAATTCAAGTGTCAAAATCTAATAACGGACTTCAAGATGACAAAGCTAAGTCTGGAAGCCCTGTTCCATCGCAAATTTCAAAACATTCCGCAAGGTCGAGAAGTAAAAGTCAGCTGTCAAAGTCCAAAACGTCTCTAGGTAAGGACACAATTATATATATAATGTTATACCTAATACCTGAACTTTCAGTATTTAATTTCGATTTGGTTCTTGACATTTTAAACAGGACTTGAATTTTTGTTAATATTTATGGTGTCTTACATATGCCTCAAATACTTTCACAAATTGCGTCATCAGTATTTGATAGGATATAAAATTTAATATAAATAGCTAAATCATGTAATGTATTATGTCTGACTGATTTAAAAGTACATGATGGTGATTTTTATCACAACATTAAAATCAAAAGTTAATCGTTAAAACTTGAAAATGTCAATTAGTACATGAATTTTTATTTCCTGAATAGAAATGACTTATTACACAAGGAAATGATATTCATAACTTTAACACTCTTATTAGAGATGTTACAATCATAAAATATTATTCTGTGCTTTATTTTCACCAACTAATGGGAATTTTATATTGACTAACTAATGGGAATTTTATATTGACTAAAAGGTAAAAGACTGTACAAAATTTCTTCATTATTTAAATTGTTGCTTGAGAAATGATACTTTTGATGTCAAAAATCAATGAAATATAACAGATGCGTGACTGTTTTTAGCTCACCTGTCACAAAGTGACAGGGTGAGCTTTTGTGATCGCTTTTCGTCCGGCGTCCGTCCGTCCGTCGTCCGTCCGTCGTCCGTCCATCCGTCCGTAAACTTTTGCTTTAAATGACATCTCCTCATAAACCACTGAGCCAATTTCATCCAAACTTCACAGGAATGTTCCTTTGGTGGTCACCTATAAAAATTGTTCAAAGAATTTAATTCCATGCAGAACTCTGGTTGCCATGGCAACCGAAAGAAAAATCTTTAAATATCTTCTTTTAAACAACCCTAAGAGCTAGAGCTTAGATATTTGGCATGAAACATCTTCTAGTGAGTGTCTACCAAGTTTGTTCAAATAAAAGCCCTGGGGTCAAAATTGGCCCCGCCCCAGGGGGTCATTGATTTTCCCTATATGCATATAGTAAAAACTTAAAAAATCTTCTTTTAAAGAACCCAAAGAGCTAGAGCTAAGATATTTAGCATGAAACATCTTCTAGTGAGTGTCTACCAAGTTTGTTCAAATAAAAGCCCTGGGGTCAAAATTGGCCCCGCCCCGGGGGTCATTGATTTTCCCTATATGCATATAGTAAAAACTTAAAAAATCTTCTTTTAAAGAACCGTAAGAGCTAGAGCTTAGATATTTGGCATGAAACATCTTCTAGTGAATGTCTACCAAGTTTGTTCAAATAAAAGCCCTGGGGTCAAAATTGGCCCCGCCCCAGGGGGTCATGGATTTTCCCTATATGCATATAGTAAAAACTTCAAAAATCTTCTTTTAAAGAACCCAAAGAGCTAGAGCTAAGATATTAAGCATGAAACATCTTCTAGTGAGTGTCTACCAAGTTTGTTCAAATAAAAGCCCTGGGGTCAAAATTGACCCCGCCCCAGGGGGTCATAGATTTTCCCTATATGCATATAGTAAAAACTTAAAAAATCTTCTTTTAAGGAACCATAAGAGCTAGAGCTTAGATATTTGGCATGAAACGTCTTCTAGTGAATGTCTACCAAGTTTGTTCAAATAAAAGCCCTGGGGTCAAAATTGACCCCGCCCCAGGGGGTCATAGATTTTCCCTATATGCATATAGTAAAAACTTAAAAAATCTTCGTTTAAAGAACCCAAAGAGCTAGAGCCAAGATATTTAGCATGAAACATCTTCTAATGAGTGTCTACCAAGTTTGTTCAAATAAAAGCCCTGGGGTCAAAATTGGCCCCGCCCCAAAAACTTAAAAATTTTTCTTTTAAAGAACTCAAAGAGCTAGAGCTAAGATATTTAGCATGAAACATGTTCTAATGGGTGTCTACCAAGTATGTTCAAATAAAAGCCCTGGGGTCAAAACTGGCCCCGCCCGGGGGGTCATTGATTTCTTTATATGTGTATAGCAAAAACTTAAAAATCTTCTTTGAAAAAACCCAAATAGCTAGAGTTTAGATATTAAGCATGAACTATCTTTAAGTAAATATCTACAAAGTTTGTTCAAATAAAAGCCCGGGGGTCAAAACTGGCCCTGCCACAGGGGTGTCATTGTTTTTAACTATATGTGTATAGTAAAAACTTTAAAAATCTTTTTTTAAAAAACCCAATGAGCTAGACCTTAGATGTTTAACATGAAACATCTTCTTATGGGTGTCTACCAAGTCTGTTCAAATAAACAAATAAAAGCCCTTGGGTAAAAATTGGCCTGGGGGTGGGGGGGGGGGGCTATATACAGGTGAGCGACCTCAGGGCCATCATGGCCCTCTTGTTCAATGTTGTAATACCATTGTGAGTTCCTACAAAATCTCATGAAATCTAAATGAAATCTCCTGTTTCATTTTTTTTGCTTCAATTTTGGAGGAATATCTATATGTGGCTGATTGTTTAGTCATTTCTTAAAGGGAGTTAGTCACATTATATGAGGGCCTGTGTTTTGTTTGGTTTTTCATTTTTGGGAACAGCAAAGAAAAACATGAGTTTCGATTTTGATTGATGATTAAAATGAAGAAATGCATAACAAGAACTAACTTCTTTTTATAGATTTTGTATTCTATTTTTAGAATTATGATCTATTTTTAGATTCTAGTCAAGTATCTGATTGGAGGTTTCAGAGCCTTGAGCAGTTGCAGGAATCAAGCTCAGATGAGGATGAGTTCTATGATGCCCAAGGTAATGAAGACTATCTGCTTCTATATTTCAGATGTGAATTTGAGACCAGTCTAGAAGTTCTTGCAAATGATTGGTTCATTTCATTTCTCAGTTTTCAAATTAGCCAATGACAAACAATTGTAATAATAGACTGGTCTTAGCAGAGACATACAATGTATAAAACATGGTATATTAAAGTGTCTCTGGTTTTAGTTAAAAATAGTTTTTCACATGAATTTACTTTGCTATAATTATTGTAGAGAATGACAGAATAAATTTTTGTTGGCTATTAATTGCAATCTTTGTGAAAAGTTTAGTTTTTCAAGTGTGTAGCACATTTTTATGCTCCCCGAAAAATTTTGGGGGAGCATATAGTCGTCGGGTTGTCCGTCCGTCCATCAGCCTGTCCGTCCGTTCGCGAGCAACATTTGTATCGCTACCTTAAAGGTCAAGGTCACAGCATGACCTTGCATCAAAATCGTGTCCAGTCCATAACTTCTTTATTTGAAGTCAGATTTTAAAACTATATCACAGAAATGATCACCATATTGAGACGACGTGTCGCGTGCAACATTTGGGTCACTACCTTGAAGGTCAAGGTCACAGCATGACCTTGCATCAAAATCGTGTCCGGTCCATAACTTCTTTATTTGAAGTCGGATTTTAAAACTATTTCACAGAAATGATCACCATATTGAGACGACGTGTCGCACGCAACATTTGGGTTGCTACCTTGAAGGTCAAGGTCACAGCATGACCTTGCATCAAAATCGTGTCCGGTCCATAACTTCTTTAATTGAAGTCAGATTTTAAAACTATTTCACAGAAAGGATCACCATATTGAGACAATGTGTCACACGCAATATTTGGGTCGCTACCTTGAAGGTCAAGGTCACAGCATGACCTTGCATCAAAATCGTGTCCGGTCCATACCTTCTTAATTTGAAGTCGGATTTTAAAACTATTCACAGAAATGATCACCATATTGAGACGACGTGTTGTGCGCAACATTTGGGTCGCTACCTTGAAGGTCAAGGTCACAGCATGACCTTGCAGCAAAATCCTGTCCAGCCCATAACTTTGTTATTTGAAGCCAGATTTTAAAACTATTTCACAGAAATGATCACCATATTAAGACTTCGTGTCACGCCCAACATTTGGGTCGCTACTTTGAAGGTCAAGGTCACAGCATGACCTTGCAGCAAAATCATGTCTAGCCCGTAACTTCCTTATTTGAAGTCTGATTTTACAACTATTTCACAGAAATGATCACCATATTGAGACAATGTGTCTTGCACAACATTTGGGTTGTTTTTACACTTTGAACATTGCCTGTGACATAACTCTGACACTACAAGAGGTATACCTTCCTGTGTCCAAAACCTATTAGGGGAGCATCACCCGGTTCAACCGGCTCTTGTCTTTGGTAAAAGTTTCATAAAGCTGTGCATGCTTCCTTTTTCTTGCTTTCTACTCGTAGATTTTAGGCAGAAAAGATTATGTTTTTGTTCAAATGTTAAAACAATTTTGTTTATTTCACATCTTCAATAATATTTTTATGTTTTATCTATCTCATAAATGAGTATTGTTTCTATTTTGCTTATTAATTTGTTAGTCTTTCATCATGAAATGTTGTGAGTCTACGTAGATTTGATTTAAAACAGATCAGAATTGTCTGTTTATAATGAATACTTTCTCATTACAAATGAATTACTTTAATTTCTTATCAGTTGTTATGCAGCTCTGATTTACTATACTTTTCATCTGTTGAAATGGGAATGAAGATTTTTGTATGATTTAAATGATAACAGCTGTATATATCAAATCATGCAAATGATTCTAAGGTTGCTAGGCAACCAGGAAGGATGTATTCTTCAGGGACAAAATTAAATTATGGAAGTTTACTTTGACATGCATATAGAACAATGATGTTTTAATGTTTAGTAATGGATATATTTGAAATATATCACACTTCAAAGCAATGATATATCATCACTTCAAAATATGTTTCTCTTATCTCAATTGTTTCAGCATTTGGTAATTTTCTTAAAAGATACTTCATAGATTAAAATAAGTTTCTGTATGTTACATTTTTATGCTAAATTTAAGTTGTAACCCCAAATTAATTGCTCACTGGAATCCTTGTGTATGGTAATTTGTTCAAAGTTGTAAGAACCAGTCTGGTAAATCAAATCATTTCATTGGACAATTTTAAATAAGAGTTATCCAATCAGAGCCTCTTACTTTAGACTGGTTCCCAAATATTTATTACTTGGGTGACTTTACTCCTAGTGTACATTGAATAGAAATACTCAAAATACTAAATGAGATAAGAATGTATGTTTGAATATATTTGTCATATTAGCTTGAAAAATGAAATACTTGTCTATTTTGTCTATATTTGTATCCTTATTTGAAAAAAATTTGATTATTATCTTTACTCTTTTAAAGTTTATATGTCATTTGTATTTAATATAATTGTGACATCAGTAAGTGAATTAACTTCAACCTAATAAAGAAAAAAAAACTTTATATAATAAAATAGCTGATTTAATCTAATTCTGATACCTCAGTGAATAAAACATTAAAACTTTGCATATATATTGCTTGTTCAGAGAATGTTGTCACGGAGAGAGAAGGTCCAAATGAAGGTGGTACGTAGGTTGTATTGCTGGAAAGCATGGTTTTGAGGGTGTTTGTTGATAACTTTGGTTTCCCTTTTTGAAACATGGAGTTTTTGTTATAGAAGTGGCATTAATAGTTTGTTTGCTGAAAATATTAGACAACGCAAAAAGGTGCAACTCACTTCAGCTGCAAGACCATTGTTCATGAAGCTCAGTTGTTGAATGCAGTTATAATGGTTTGGCACTGTGGAAAACTGCTTACTTTGAATAATTTATAACCTAAAACATTAACAAATAAACATAACTTTTATCTTGAATGAAATATAAGTATATTTAAATGTTAAAAGCTACTTGCCTGTTCTCCTAATTTTTATAAGTGACTAAATATACTTAAATCTTGAGACCCACAAGTCAAGAAAAGACCACACAGAATTTCATAAATGGATTTGTCAAGTTTCCATTTCTGGAACTTTTCATTGTCAATTTTCAGAGATGTTAAGATGAAAAATAAAAGATAGTCAGCCAACAGCATAAAACATTGTCAGTCTACACACATAATGTAGGCTGGCCTGGCTTTTTACTGGTGGCAAACTTTAATTGCTCTTAGGTTCCAGTTTTATAAGGGTTAAGGGTGATGTGGCTACCTGTCTGCAGTGTCTGTGTATCAAACCTGGGATGATGGGTTTGAACCATACTGGGGACGCAACCTTATATGACAACAGTTCTGTGTAGTCTTTGGAAGCAGATTTAAAGGAGTGGTTTATATAAGCCTCAAACTTCCATCTGTCCCAAACTAAAATAATTAAAAAAATGTATAGGCTTAAACAGATTTTTGTCTTTTTTTTCTTTTGTATAATAAGTGATATTTATAAAATACTATTCTTTTTAGTCCCCTACTGGTTTAACCGGAGGGGACTTTAGGTTTACCCTCCGTCCGTCTGTCCGTCTGTCTGTCTGTCTGTCAGTCTGTCAGTCCGTCAGTCCGTCCGTCCACAAAACTGGATCCCGCGATAACGCAAAAAGTACTGAAAATATTTTTATGAAACTTGATATATGGATAGATGGCAGTATGGAGATTATGCACGTCTTTTTTTTTTCTTCCTATGTTGAAAATTCTGGTTGCTATGGCAACAAATAGTCTGAAAATATGGCAAATTTAACACATAAACTGGATCCAGTGATAACTCAAAAAGTACTGAAAATATTTTTATGAAACTTGAAATATGGGTAGATGGCAGTCTGGAGATTATGCACATCTTTTTCTTTTCTTCCTATGTTGAAAATTCTGGTTGCTATGGCAACAAATAGCCTGATTTTCAAGATTTCTGATTTAAATTTTTCAGCTTTTTCACTATATGTTCTTTATTTCTTAAGGTGTTTACTTCAAACTTTAAATATAAGTTTCTGGTCATCAACCACATCATATGTGACAAGGTTTATAACTCTAGCACAAAAAATATCAGTATTACCTCCCTTGAACTTAGATTTTTTAGGAGAAAAAATGTTGTCTTTTTTAAATAACTTCTTTATTTCCTAATGTATCTACTTCAAACTTCATATATATGTTTCTTATTATCACTCGACATTTTTGAGAAGGTTAAATACTCTAGCAAGACTATTTCCAGAATTATGTCCCCCTTGAACTTAGATTTTTTTTCGAGAAACTGGTATTTTCACTTCAACTTCTTCATTCCTTATAGGATTTACTTTAAAATCCCACATCGTATTAATATGACAAGGTTGTATAAACATAATTTCCTTACTAAGCATGGAAACTTAACACATTACTGTGATATAGACAAACTTATTTTATTATGTTTTGTGGTTGATATTTTCAAATACAGACTTCATCCTCAAATTCATTATAAATGGCAATACACAGGAGTGTATGACAATTAAAGAACTTTTTGAGGGACCGGTAGGGGACTACTGTATTGCCCGCAATACTATCAAATGCTTGTTTTTAAAGTCTTTTTTGTTGCCATTAGTATGATGAGTTATTAATCCAGAAATACAGCAAAAGGAGACCAGATCTAGTCAATGCTTTGGTTAACCAGGGATGTTTCCTTATCCAACACTTTTATACAGTGTGCATAATATTCAACAAGGTTTTTCTAAGCAATGTTTGAAGTAATTAAAGTTAATACACATATATTTACATTTTCCTGTTAACCTTTCCTGGTTGACTATAATACTTATTGCATTTCCTGCTTCACTTAAAATGTTGTTTACATTCAAATTACATAATAATTGACTGTTAAGAAAATTTTACCAACAGCTGTTCACATTTTAAATTGTTAAAAAAAAATATTTATAATAAATAAATAAATAAGAAATTAATTAATTAATTAATTAAAACTGATTAAATAAAACTGATTACTTAAAACTGATTGTTAAAAACTGATTAATTAATTGAAATTAATTAATTAATTAATTAATTAATTAATTAATTGCTTTCTTTTTTCTTTCTTTCTTTCTTTCTTTCTTTCTTTCTTTCTTTCTTTCTTTCTTTCTTTCTTTCTTTCTTATTTTTCTTTCTTTCTTTCTTATTTTTCTTTCTTTCTTTCTTCCTTTCTTTGAATTTGTAAATGTACAAAAAAAACACAAATTTTTTTACATAAATTTAGGATCAATTAATTACAATTGTGACAGATGCTTTTTGTACTCAAGTTTATGGCTTGAACGTTAGTATATAACCTTGAGTAGAATCTGCTATTTTATTCTAGATTTTGGATTAGAGAATTTTCAGCTTTGATGCCTCCTCACTCCATGCTTTGTGGCCATTTATTTTTTTGGATATTTTGGCGTTGTTTTTTTTTTTGACACAAGTAAGGTCATTTATGGCTGATTAAAAGTAACTTGAGAAAGTTTACATTATAAAAATATGCTATAATTCAATTATGTATAAATACTGTAAAAGTTAAGAGAAAGAAACAAAAAAAAAATCATTAAATATTTATTTAAAAAGTAAAGATATATAACATTTTAAGAATAAAATACTTTGTCATATATTTAATGTTTAAACAGTTAAGGTTGATTTAGGTCAAGAAGTTATAAAATTCTTGGAAAAGAATTTTGAAAAAAAATATTTAAATCAAACTTATTATAGAACTTCACACTGCATAGAAATTTGGTTTTAAATTAATATTCTTTTTTGTTATGATATTTTTTATGTTTGCTTGTATGTAAAACAAAACATGATATTTTGCAAAGTTTGCATCTATTTGTTATGTTCTTTAAATTGAACATACTTCTGTTTTGCACTGGTTTTAAGGACACATTATGCTTCTACACTGCATAGAGCTGAATCAACTTTATTTTGTTTTCATTATACTCTTTTTTTACACTTAACACTTTTTTTAAGTTCAACTCTATATATATTTTTAGTACATTATACATGTTCATCTTTGAATTAGGCACATTTAATGTTTGCATATAGTTGTATATATTGTATGCTGGCACTTAGCTTGAATGTTTAGCTTAAAATGTTGTATTGATTTAAATAATTATTTTGTTTTGTACAGTATATTATTTTCATTTCTGTTTTTCCTATATGTTGTTCTGTAGGTCTTTGTGATGATGTTTTCAACTCTGATTTAGACTGCTCTGAGTCAGAGGCACATTTTGCATGTAAGTACCCCACCCACTTATGTTTTTCTATGTACCCCACCCACTTGTGTTTTATATGTACCCCACCCACTTTTGTTTAAATTGACTCTGTCTACATGTATCTTTGCTTTCCATGTAACACAGCACAGTTTGTATAGTATCACTTTTCACTGACAGGATTTTATTATGCCCCCATTTCGAAGAAAAGGGGGTATATTGCTTTGCACTTGTCGGTCCGTCGGTCCGTAGACCAAATGGTTTCCGAGTGATAACTAAAGAACCCTTAGGCCTAGGAACTTCAAACTTGGTATGGTGATTGGTCATGACCAGTAGATGACCCCTATTGATTTTGGGGTCAAGAGGTCAAAGGTCAAGGTCACATTGACCTTGTAAGCAAAAACGGTTTCCGATCAATAACTAAAGAACCTTAAGGCCTAGGAACTTCAAACTTGGTATGGTGATTGGTCATGATCAGTAGATGACCCCTATTGATTTTGGGGTCAAGGGGTCAAAGGTCAAGGTCACATTGACCTTGTAGGTAAAAACCGTTTCCGATCAATAACTAAAGAACTTTAAGGCCTAGGAACTTCAAACTTGGTATGGTGATTGGTCATGACCAGTAGATGACCCCTTTTGATTTTAGGGTCAAGGGGTCAAAGGTCAAGGTCACATTGACCTCTTGGGTAAAAACGGTTTCTGATCAATAACAAAAGAACCCTTAGGCCTAGGAACTTCAAACTTGGTATGGTGATTGGTCATGATCAGTAGATGACCCCTATTGATTTTGGGGGTCAAGGGGTCATAGGTCAAGGTCACATTGACCTCTTGAATAAAAACGGTTTCTGATCAATAACAAAAGAACCCTTAGGCCTAGGAACTTCAAACTTGGTATGGTGATTGTTTATGACCAGCAGATGACCCCTATTGATTTTGGGGTTAAGGGGTCAAAGGTCATATTGACCTTGTAGGTAAAAACGGTTTCCGATCAATAACGAAAAAACCCTTAGGCCTAGGGACTTCAAACTTGATATGGTGATTGGTCATGACCAGCAGATGACCCCTATTGATATTGGGGTTAAGGGGTCAAAGGGCAAGGTCACATTGACCTTGTAGGTAAAAATGCTTTCCAATCAATAACTTAAGAACCCTCAGGCCTAGGAACTTCAAACTTGGTATGGTGATTGGTCATGACCAGCAGATGACCTATTGATTTTGGGGTCAAGGGGTCAAAGGTCAAGGTCACATTGACCTTGTAGGTAAAAACGGTTTCCGATCAATTAACTAAAAATGCTTAGGCCTTGGAACTTCAAACTTTGTATGATGATTGGTCATGACCAGCAGATGACCCCTATTGAGTTTTGGGTCAAGGGGCAAAGGTCAAGGTCACATTGACCTTGTAAGTAAAAACGGTTTCTGATCAATAACTTAAGAACACTTAGGCCTAGGAACTTCAAACTTAGTATGGTGATTTGTCATGACCAGCAGATTACCCCTATTGATTTTGGGATCAAGGGGTCAAAGGTCAAGGTCACATTGACATTGTAAGTAAAACCGGTTTTTGATCAATAACTAAAGAACGCTTCGGCCTAGGAACTTCAAACTTGGCATGGTGATTGGTCATGACCAGCAGATGACCCCTATTGATTTTGTGGTCAAAGGTCAAGGTCACATTGACCTTGTATTTTAAAACGGTTTCCGATCAATAACCAAAGAAGCCTTAGGCCTAGGAACTTCAAACTTGGTATGGTGATTGGTCATGACCAGCAGATGACCTATTGATTTTGGGGTCAAGGTGTCAAAGGTCAAGGTCACATTGACCTTGTAGGTAAAAACGGTTTCCGATCAATTAACTAAAAACGCTTAAGCCTAGGAACTTCAAACTTTGTATGATGATTGGTCATGACCAGCAGATGACCCCTATTGAGTTTTGGGTCAAGGGGTCAAAGGTTAAGTTCATGACCAGTAGATACTTGATAACCCTTATTAATTTTTTGATCACTGGGTCAGAAGTCATGCATAATAACCTTATCACATGACTAATTGGCTGCTGATAGGGGGCATACATGTTTTACAAACATATCTTGTTATTGTAGCTCTGTCATTTACAGAAACAAATTGATTGAAATTAGCCATATAAAATGAATTACAATTAATGGCTATTAATTTACCTTTTCCAAAAAAAATGCTTATCGATGCTTTCCTAATTATGCATGATGTGTAGATTTAACTAAGATAAAGTATGCAATTTATTACCTATAATGCTTATATACGGGTTGTTCAAGAGGTTTAGTTTTTCAAGTATATATTTCCTATGTACTATTGTAAGAAAATTTATGAATCTCAATCATAACACAGTGTTGTATAGTTAGACGCTAATAAGAAAGAAAAAAAAAAGCTTTGTAAAAAAAAAAATGACTGTCACTGTATGAATGACAGTCACTGTTTAAGATACAGTCGAGACTGCCTTAGCGACCCCCTGATTTAAACGACTCCCTGTCTTATCCGACCTTGTTTCAGTCCTCCCAACGTATTTTCCTATATAAATGGTCTGAATTAAACGACTCCCTGTCATATGTGACAAGCGACCCTAATTGTCTGGTCCCAATGCAATGTTTGGTCTGATTTAAACGACTTTCACACCTTTTAATTGTCCGTTAATAAGATAATTTATACCTATTATAAAACCCAGAGGGCCAAAATAATTAAGTCCAATTATAATCCAGTAGCAAATAAAGTCTACACACCTCTATCTCAATTACACAGTATACATGCAGGTATCAAGTGACGTAGCGTCTGTTCATGGGAAGCATGATGTAATCGATGTGTGTGTAATGTACATAAAGTGAACTGGGTTAAGACTTGTGTTAGATTTTTTTTTATTATAGAGTGCCCACGGAAGATTTTTTAAGCAGCATTTTTTTAATTTACCTTTCTATGGCTGCATAATTAATACGGAAAAAATATTGATATCAAACCAGAAAAAGTTTTGGATATGGATATGTAACACAATTTTTTCATGGTTTTATTTCATAAATATGATGCTCAAATTAAGATTTGTCAATATTGTAAGTTTAAATAAGCATGATTTATAAAGATATCACCCAATTTAACATTTCATGTAAATAAAGGTCATTAAAGGGAGGTAATTAGAACTTTATTTTCTATAAATTCTTAGTCAAATTTTCAAATAAGAAATCAATGCATGTAATTTATTGATTAAATATAATGTGCACAAATATTTGCAGTACACATTTTACATATTCTTTGATGTTGGAAAATTGTTTTATTTGCATAATTACAGTATATCTATATATATTTTTTTTGCAAGTGTAGTGAACAAACAATATCAATCACAAAACATACAGGATCTTTATGTCACAATGGTATATAGACAGATAGATGATATTTAAATTTAATTTTCTTTGAGACTGTATTAAGAGACTCCCTGTCATATGTGACCTTTTTCTGAAGATCCCTTGGAAAGTCACATATGACAGTCTCGACTGTATTTTGATTTTTCTGATTAGCATCAAATTCACTTAGATGATGATCATGTGCAACAGTCAATACAAACGAGAAGAAGAAGCCCAGAAATACTTCTTAACAAAGTTTGAATTCAAATCAAAATGTAACCCTAGCTTGCCAGCAGTTACAAATTCTTCTATAGCAAACCATGCAGATCATGATCAGATGTAACAGATGTGCTCCCTGCTTTTTAATTTCAATGATGGTAATTTAGGTTTACAATTTTTAAATAAAACTGTAAGCATTCAAGTCTCATTGGTCAGCCTTAGCACTATATATGTATATAGGTGATAGCGAAGGCAACTCATTATTTAGGGTCCGTACTCTCAGTGCCTGAATGGGCGGATTGACCCTTATTAAGTGTAGAATTGTAACACACAAGTCCTAATTCAAAGGGTAACAAACTTATTAATTTAACTTATGGTATCCACTGTTAATTAAAGTCTCCAAAGTTGATTTAGTTTTATAGATTTTGATGATAATCTTGAAACTTCTTGATCAACCCTCATACTTATATTTATAATATAACATGCAAGCTTCTCTAACTGTGTGTAAATTTGTTACTGATATATATATTGTTATCAATAATCTACTTTAATATTGCATCTCTCTTGATAAAGTTTATATTACCCCACCCACTGGAAGCATTTTTAGCTCAACTGAGCACAAAGTGCTCTAAGGTGAGCTTTTAATTGTGATTGCAGTGTTTGTCATTTGCAGGTGTCCACATTTTCTTTAAAAAACATCTCCAAGACTACAAGTACTTGATGGATTTTGACATTCTTCGCAGGAGTGATCCTTAGGTTGCCCTATACAAAAATTATATAAATGTTTCCAGTCTGATGCATGAATAGGTCACAGGAGCAAAAAATACACTTTAAATGAATTCTTTGAAAAATAGGCTCTGGGAGTAGTACAAATAGTTTATAAAGGGTTGTATAATTAAAACATCTTCAAAGACATCTCCTCAGAAACTGCAATGTGTAGTTCTAACTGAAATATATGCCATATAGTATTGATCACCTTGTGGTCCCCTGGGTATAAAGTTGATCCCACCCCAGGGTCACCTAGTTTATATAAACTTGTATAGGAAAATACATGTTTGTCTTCTTTTATGAAACTGCAATGCCTAGATATTATTTTTTGTTGTCATGAAGCATTATTTGTAGAAGACATCTACAAATATTTGATAAATTATGATGCTTTGGTAATAAAAAAGACAAACCAGATGTGACCTGTGACTTTTTCTAGCAATATATCTCAGGTGAGCAATCCAAGGCCATCATGGCCCTGTGTTTTCTGAAGTAATGCTAAAATAAAAGTAAAACTCTTTGTTGAAACACTTAAAAGTCATATTGGAAAATTTGGTAATTCTTATGACAATTATGCACTTGTTCATAATTTGATATATCATTTTTGAAAAAATAATATTATTGTCATGAATTACAGGGGAAGGACTAGCAATGAAGTCGTTGTCCATGGAAACTCTTTCTGTTTCCAACGATGAATTTGCAGATGCCAGATCTCATCTCTCATTTGACCAAGGTAAATTCATTCAGCATTAGTCATCTATGAATTATATTGTTTTTTTTGTAGAAACTTTCCCTTAAGGGAAATAGAAAAAAAATTGATGAATTCTCAAGACTGGTAAATACGGACTTTGAAATAAGAGATAATTAGTCGCCTCTTACAGCTCTCTCACTCTCTGATTGGACAATTTGAAATTCAAATTACATTGTTGTATATGAATATAAAATGTAAGCCTGTAAGAGTTTAGACCATCTGGTTAGCTCAATGTAGAATGTTGGACTATGAGTTGGGCAATCCTGGTTTGATTTCCAGGCTTTCTTTATGAATGATCATGAAATCCTTTCCACCGTCATTTGTTCTGTACCTCTGCTCAGGCATGTTCAAAAGTAATCAGTTCCTTGTGAAAGTAAAGGCAACTAGTATTGGTAAACATGTTCGACAGCCTGCCCAGGAACTCGAATTGCTCGTTGTTAAATTCAGTGTGGCTTTCTGCCTTGATTTGGAGTGAAAACAACCAACACCAACAAAATTTCAATAAATTTGTTAGCAAGTTTTTACAAAAATACTAAATTTTCCTACTGACTTGGCCTCTATCAATGTTTTTTGTCTTAGAAATAACAAAAACAAGCTTTGTTTGATTGTTCTGCTTTGATTTATTTCAGAGTCACATGGTAGCCGACGTTTTGAGAAACTTTGTCAGAAATACAGTCTAGAGACAGGAGGGTTTGAGAAACACGCACCTGTGCCACCACTGTGTAAAACTAATACACTATTCCTTGTTGTACATGGAGGTAGGTCTATGGGGTTGTTTTTTCTGACATAAGAAAATTTGTCTTTGAAATCTTTTTGGTAATAAAATGAATTTTGATAGAACTATAATAATTTGAAGTGTGCATAGAAAAAAACACAGACACTTAAGATATGAATCTAACATAGGGGTCAGAAATTGTAACCATTTCCCAAGTGTCCCTAAATTCAAAAGAAGTACAAATCCATTTCTTGAATTTCCCAGGTTAAAAGCTAAAATCTTATTTTATTCTTTGGTTTAATATCTTTATATGTATAATCAGGCTTAAGTTAGTAGTTTTTAAGCAACAAGACATTGACTTACATATTTTATATTATAGGTAGTTTATTGGACCCTGCCTACGATCATTTTAACACATCTAAGAGGAGTGATTATAATACATTAAAGACAACATTTGATACTGTGATCAAATCAAGTTATCCGAGTGCTAAAGGACGTATCGCTATCAGACTTGTGCCATGCCCTCAGATCTGTTGTGAGGCTCTCAATGTTCTTTCGAGGTAAGCTTTATCCGAGGGATCACTTTGTTTCTGGAGAAAGTAGCTCTTAATGTGAAAATATTTGTCATAAAAATAGCAAATTGTAAACAAAGTAGTTTTTTGACTTTTGTACAAAATACTAAATCACTGTAACTGTACTAATTGCCAAAAGGAAATAGAAGCAAAAATTGGCTTAGGTAATTGGCTTTTGAAAATATAACATGACATCAAATTAAAGAGCTTTTGAGAACATGAGAACAAATGTATTTCTTGGCCATCATGGGCCTTTAAACATAGGGTTATCATGTGATTTTGTATTTCTGTTGATCTCATTTACAGTTTAAGCCCATTTGGGTTTGATGCCATGACTCCGAATTCAAGTGAAGGTGCTCTTCCCTGGAGCCAAGAGTTTGTTCCCTTGGGAGCTGTTGGTCTTTTCTCAGTGTGCAGCCCAGATTATCAGGATCATGTGAATTCTGTTATTGCCAAAGCAAACCTTGTCTTCATGGACTTCCTACAGTCTGAAGAGGGAAAAGGCTTCAATGGACAGGTACTTGATTATTTTGCTATGTAAATTTATTTAAAGCTAACATATATTCTGAAAAATTGTATGTCATTATATCTGATTTAAGTTAATTTCTGGTTAGGAAAAAAATGAAATAATTGGTAGCTGCTATTGACCAGTATTTATAGTAGAACCTGGCTTCTGGGGCCACTTAATTTCTGTTAAAAACTGGTCCTAATAGTGTAGCGGGGTGTCCGTGGCCCAGTGGTTAAGGTCATTGACTTCAAACCACTTGCCATTCACTGCTGTGGGTTAGAATCCTGACAGGGACTTTGGATTCTTTCATGTGAGGAAGCTATCCAGCTAGCTTATGGAATGTTGGTGGTTCTACTCAGGTGCCCGTTTGTGCCTGAAATAATGCACAGAAGGGCACCTGAGGTCTTTCTCCATTAGTAAAGCTGGTACGTCGCCATATGACATATAATGTGATGGTGTATTATAAAACCCAATTAAACAAACTTTAAAGTGTAGCAATATCTGATTTTAATTTATTTCTATTAAAAAAACATAAAAAAGCCCTTGTTCTATATATATTTGCATGCCAATAAATTGAATATTATTTGTCAACCTATGTGTCAAAATCTGGGGTTTCGAATCTGTTGTGTTTTAACTGGGTATTGGCCTAAACAGATAAATATACTGTTGGCTTCTACAGGTATGTATCTTGGCCGATGCAACAGGTTCTGTGTTGACCTATGATGCCTTAACCCGGACTCGCACTCTTCTAGGACGTAATGACAGTCACCACGGTAGCCAGTCTAGCGATCTGAACCAGGACTTTGATCTGTCGGCCTCTATGGGCAGTTCTCATACCCTGTGTGAAAACGCAAAAGACACAACAATCGTGGAACAGGACGAAGATGTTGTTTTACGACATAAACCGGACACATTAAGGAGTGAAAGTGTACAGACTGATTCAAAATCAGTCGTAGAAAGTAGTAAATCTGTAAAGTCAGATAAGTTGGATGATAATCAGTCAAAATCCTCGGAACGTGATGCCAGTAAACCAGCTGTACGCAAAATGGACAGTGTTCCCATAGAAACACGTCATAATAGTGTGAGATTACAAGTGACTAGGTCGGTCGAGACTCCCGGGGAATTTGTGCGGAGAACTAGTGGCGGAAGTCAGTATGAAACTTTAAAGTTTGATTTTGAAGTGGCTGATTTCTTCATGCTGGGATCACCACTAGGACTTGTGTTGGCATATAGGAAGATGTTTGCTGGAGAAAAATCTGGTAAGTTTACTGGTACATTTTGTATACTTATGTTACTGAAATACTGTTTTTGGTTTTTGTTTGCCTAGAATCAAACTGAGTATGCAACTTTTTATTTTATGTGATTTTTTGTTTGTTTTTGTTTGCCTAGAATCAAACTGAATATGCAACTTTATATTTTTTGTGACATTTAAGGTTTTTAACTTGGGAAGAATGCCATAGAATTCCTTTTATCAATTAATTTAAATGCACAACAAAAAATAGTTTGGAAATCACACTGGGCTGAACTTAGTTTGGAATCAAGGTATTTAAAATTTCAGAAAAGGCTTCTACAAGTTCATGTAAAGGTTCAATGATAAAATGTTTGATTCACTTTCCTGAAATTCCAGAAATCATTATGTGTTACAACTGAAAGAAATTGTGTCATTTTCCTGAAATTTCACAAGTTACCCTTTGTTATTATGTTCTCCTACTGATAAATTTTTTCATACAGTATTTGGTTCTTGTAACAGAACATGATTCTGTAGTTTATGACATTTTTCATTCTAATCAGGCACTCCACTGAGACCTGATTGTCAACAGATGTACAACTTGTTTCATGCCAGTGATCCATCTGCTCTTCGTCTTGAACCATTGCTGAACTTCGTGTTCCGTCAAATCCCGCCCATCAAAATAGCGAGATATAACAAATTTCCCATGGGCGATGGAGAATCTATTCAAATAGGTAAGTAAAGTATAGAATTCATGTAAACATAACTTAATGGATACTTTCTGTAGTAATGTTTGAAGTAAGGTTTGTAGAGATTTATGAAACACTTGATTTTCTCTGCATTGTATGATTTTATGTCAGGTTTAAAATTTTAAAGTCTGACTCCAACACTGTCATAACATGTTATTTAGTTGTAACAATTAATTACTGGTTCAGTTAACCCTTGAGTACTGCAAGTCATTTAGATATACTTGATCTGTGCCTTACAAAATCAATTTAGCATATTGCTTCCCAAGGACATTTTTAAATTTTTAAGTTAGTGAGATTTGTTCTATTTTTGTCAGTAAAAATTTGTATTTTGTGTTAATTTTTGTCTTACATTCAAAACATGTATATATTTATTTTAAGCAAGACATTATTTATTTATATTTTATATTATGTTTTACAACTTTGGTGTATAGATTCATATGACACAAGTAAGTTTAAGCTATGAGGTGGTTTATATATAAATATGGATATTAAATGTGGAGGAGCCAGCTTGTAATTGGCTCAGCATATTCACCAAATTAACAATGCATTGTATATGTCAATCTATCCATTGGTCAGCTTGTCCATCTTAGTTTAAAGGACCACACCATAATGCAGGACCAAACCATGACCTTGGTTTATCTTAGTTTGCAGGACCAAGCCATAACTCCTGAGCATCTTGGTTTGCAGGGCCACAACATAACTTTTGTCCATAATTGTTTACAGGACCACACCAAAACTCTTGTCCATTTTGGATTGCAATACCATACCAAAACTGTCAATCTTGGTTTGCTGGGCCACACCATAACTCATGTCCATCTAGGTTTGCAGGTCCACAACATAACTCGTGCCCATCTTGGTTTGCAGGACCTGAACATAACTCTTGTCCATCTTGGTTTGCAGGACCTCAACATAACTCATGTCCATCTTGGTTTGCAGGACCTTAACATAACTCATGTCCATCTTGGTTAGCAGGAACACACCATAACTTTTGTCCATCATGGTTTGCATGGCCACAACACATTTTTACGAGATAGAAATTGTATGTCCTTCAGATGGCCATTATCTATAGTTTTATAGGTCAAAGTCAAACTTGGAAGTCAAAGATCCAAATTAGAATTCAATATTTCACCTTAAAAAGACATATATGTACTTTGGATGTTGTTTTTGCTACTTATATATATTTATAATGAAATGTTAGTAAATGTCTTTGTTAAAGTTGATAGTTATGCTGTGATATGATCTGTTATACCACTTGTATATCAAATACAGTAGAACCCATGTTTATAATTATTCAGTAGTGACTGCTTTATGTTCCATATCCAATTGATATCAAATATAAAATTATATTCAATTAAATAAATTAAAAGTACTTATGGAAAGGGGGTGGAAGCAGGTGTTAAACATGTTTTTTTCTCCTTCTAATCAATAAAACTTTTTTTTCCAAGCATAAAATTATACTGATGCATACTTTCTTAATTGCCTAAGATTGATTAATATTGTTTTTATCAGAAAAAAATGTCTAAAACTGTTATTTCTTTTTGCACAATACTGGTATTCCTCTCAATTTGTACAGTACAATCTTTGCAGAAAAAAAAGAGAAAAAAAGACTCCCTAAATTACATCCAAAATGGCTTAATTGAGAACAATTTAAACTCTTTCAGATAATAACATTTTGGTTGCTGCCAAGAGGTGCTGCTTCAGAGAGATTTATTAATTTTTGTAAAGTTTTCATTTAAAAAGATTTGTTATTGTCCTTACAACGAAGTTATTGCTTTACTAGAGGTCAATGATTCACAGATTGCAATGTAAATAAATTTGAAAAAGAAAATTCTTGTTATGGAAATTGGTCACATTAGAATAAACAGCCCAACAAATTCGACAAAAAAAGGCCAAATAGCAATTAAACATAGGCAGTTAAGAAGTGTGCACCGCACCAGTATATAAGCCAAATTGCAATTAAACATAGGCAGTTAAGAAGTGTGCATCAGTATATAAGAACTTAAGGAACTTAAAGGAAGTGCTGAAAACATTAAATATGACATGGTTTCTAGAGCAAGTTTGACTGTATGGATAACATGCTTCATAATTTTAAACTTAACGTGTTTTTTGTTTTTATTTTTGCTGTATTGTTCTAGTGGAAACCGTATGTCACTACATACACATGTTCCTTGACCAGCTTGTTGACCAGGCTGGCACGGGATCCCAGTTACTCGTCTCGCTACAACGTCAAGCCAGTGTCACAAGCACGTGCAGTCAGCTAACAGCCATGTCTGCGCACGGGAACACATTTTCTAACATTGCAAATGGTATTGAATGCATCATGAAGCATGTGCATTATGAAGGAGAAAAGTTTTCCCCCAGCTTTAAGTGTATTGAATGTTTAGCTAAGCTCTGTTACATTTGTTAAGCTATTTATATATTTTGCTCGATTTCCATCTTCCTATCATTTATGTTATTTTCTTATCATACTCTTTAAGCTAGCTCTCAAAGAAAGCCAGAAGGTTCACCCATACCTTATTTTGTTGTTGTCAGTGTTAGTATTGTCCAATTCACTGTGACCTTGATTAAGGTCAAGGTGACCTTGATAAAGGTCAAGACATTAGAATAAGTGAAGGTCGTTCACATTCTTTCATTTTTCTGAGTAAAAAATTTTGGATTTTGTTGTATCTTTGTCCTTCCGTTTATCTGTCCTCATACACAGCCTACCATTTTTTATAGCATCCTTATTGTTGACCTGTTGACCTTTTCCTGTGGGAATGATTTGTTGTTAATAGGTCAAGGTCACTGAGTCTTAGGATTGTTTTTTTTTAAAACATTTTCCTGATAAAATGCTAATTTATTAACTGATATCTTACATTGTTGTAGGTATAGGTAGTTGTTATCTTATACAAAGATATCATCTTGTGTCATGTTTGAAATTGAAAGGGCAAGGTCATGACTTTTCATGACCTTTCATTGCCTTTCAAGTGATATTAGTATCAAATATCCCTTGAGTGGCTAAACTTCTGAAGATAAGACAGAAATAATTTGCATGATGGCTTTTGTCAATAAGGTCAGCAGCAGGATAATTTAGTTTCTATCTTTCTAAGGTCAGTATAATGATGACCTTTGAGTCTATACCTGTTTAACAGGGAATTCAGAGTTCACAGTGAATGATGATATAGTACTAAGTGAGCATGTTTGAAAAGTAAATTGTTTTTACCCTAGTGTACATCTTAAAATACATGGACCTTAATTGACTGCATGGAATTTGATTCTTTTTTTAAAAAAAATCAGTGGTTATTACTCTTCTGTTATAACTCCTTTTACTTTTGTAATGTGATTCTGCTTAATACTCTGCAGTTTTTCATTTCATTTTGGGTTTAGATAATACTCATAGTAAATTGTAATTAAGCTTGATTGTATAATAATAAATGGAAACTGGAGGTTTTATTATTATCATTTTTTTTTTATTAGCTCACCTGTCACAAAGTGACAGGGTGAGCTTTTGTGATCGCTTTTCGTCCGGCGTCCGTCCGTCCGTCGTCCGTCCGTAAACTTTTGCTTTAAATGACATCTCCTCATAAACCACTGAGCCAATTTCATCCAAACTTCACAGGAATGTTCCTTTGGTGGTCACCTTTAAAAATTGTTCAAAGAATTTAATTCCATGCAGAACTCTGGTTGCCATGGCAACCGAAAGAAAAATCTTTAAATATCTTCTTTTAAACAACCCTAAGAGCTAGAGCTTAGATATTTGGCATGAAACATCTTCTAATGAGTGTCTACCAAGTTTGTTCAAATAAAAGTTCTGGGGTCAAAATTGGCCCCGCCCCTGGGGCATTGATTTTCCCTATATGCATATAGTAAAAACTTAAAAAAATCTTCTTTTAAAGAACCCAAAGAGCTAGAGGTAAGATATTTGGCATAAAAACATCTTCTAGTGAGTGTCTACCAAGTTTGTTCAAATAAAAGCCCTGGGGTCAAAATTGGCCCCACCCCGGGGGTCATTGATTTTCCCTATATGCATATAGTAAAAAACTTAAAAAATCTTCTTTTAAAGAACTGTAAGAGCTAGAGCTTAGATATTTGGCATGAAAACATCTTCTAGTGAATGTCTACCAAGTTTGTTCAAATAAAACCCTGGGGTCAAAATTGGCCCCGCCCCAGGGGGGTCATGGATTTTCCCTATATGCATATAGTAAAAACTTAAAAAATCTTCTTTTAAAGAACTGTAAGAGCTAGAGCTAAGATATTTGGCATGAAACATCTTCTAGTGAGTGTCTACCAAGTTTGTTCAAATAAAAGCCCTGGGGTCAAAAATTGGCCCTGTCCCGGGGGGTCATTGATTTTCCCTATATGCATATAGTAAAAACTTAAAAAATCTTCTTTTAAAGAACTGTAAGAGCTAGAGCTAAGATATTTGGCATGAAACATTTTCTAGTGAATGTCTACCAAGTTTGTTCAAATAAAAACCCTGGGGTCAAAATTGGCCCCGCTTCAGGAGGTCATTGATTTTCCCTATATGCATTTAGTAAAAACTTAAAAAATCTCCTTTTAAAGAACCTTAAGAGCTAGAGCTTAGATATTTGGCATGAAACATCTTCTAGTGAATGTCTATCAAGTTTGTTGAAATAAAAGCCCTTGGGTCAAAATTGGCCCCGCCCCAGGGGTCATTGATTTTCCCTATATGCATATAGTAAAAACTTAAAAAAATCTTCTTTTAAAGAACCCAAAGAGCTAGAGCTAAGATATTTAGCATGAAACATGTTCTAATGGGTGTCTACCAAATATGTTCAAATAAAAGCCCTGGGGTCAAAACTGGCTCGATCCGGGGGTCATTGATTTTCCTTATATGTGTATAGCAGAAACTTAAAAATCTTGTTTGAAAAAACCCAAATAGCTAGAGTTTAGATATTAAGCATAAAACATCTTTAAGTAAATATCTACAAAGTTTGTTCAAATAAAAGCCCGGGGGTCAAAACTGGCCCTGCCCCAGGGGTGTCATTGTTTTTAACTATATGTGTATAGTAAAACTTAAAAAATCTTTTTTAAAAAACCCAATGAGCTAGAACTTAGATGTTTTGCATGAAACATCTTCTTATGGGTATCTACCAAGTTTGTTCAAATAAACAAATAAAAGCCCTTGGGTAAGAATTGGGGGGGGGGGGCTATATACAGGTGAGCGACCTCAGGGCCATCATGGCCCTCTTGTTTATTTATTTTTTTTTGTGGTAAATTCTCTTTTCTTGAATACTCACTTAAATATTTCAAATACAAAGTCTTTTTTTAGGTCATAAGTTTGCTTATAACTGTTATATTTTGTTGGTTTAGATTTTAGCTCGCCCTACGAGCAAGTGACTATGTGTCCTTAGTTATTCAGAATATGTTTAATTTCTGTCTGTGTTAAACAATTCACATTTTTTTTTATTTAATAACTATGATCAGTGTGCTACTGTAAGATAAGATTCAGTTTGAAATATAACTCACTTAGTTTAAAAAGAAATTAAGGAAAACATCATTTATAGTTTCTTAACACTCTACAGGAAATAGTTTCAGCCAATTCTTAGTGTGCTTTACTATTTTGTTAAAAGCATAGGATTTGTTTTAGTGTGCTAATTAAGTTTCAGTCATTTTGGTCATCAAATGTTATTTATAAATGAATCCTAATATTAGATTTAAGTTAAATCTTGTTCTTTTGGTCTGCTTTTGTGATTTGTGTTGTGAAAACTTTTGTGTATTTGGATAATTGTGGTGTATTGAAGTTTTGTGACATGTGTGTCTAATTTTAAAGGAAATAAATTTTAATTTTCATTAAAATTTAAAATGTTAAAAAGTATAAGAATAACATTTTGTAATTTTTACTTTAGTATGCTACAAAAAAAACAATGTTTCAAATAACATTCATGATTGATTTATTTACATTTTATGTTCATGGTGATAAGATTTGTCCTGAATAATCCGCAATTAGTTTGAAAAAATAAAATGTTGTTTTATTTGTTTTGTTTTTTTGTTGTTGCATTTAACTTAATTAAACATCTGACTTACTTAGTCATTAAGAGAAAGGAAAATATTTATATGAGGAATAGTATTATACTTGTTTTTATAAGGAAAAATATGTAATGTTAGCCTTGTATCCAGAACGATTTTCCATGCATATACCCTCCTATTATCCTATTATATATATACAGAAAAGGGAACACCTTAAATGCTAGGGAATGTTTGTCTATCAATTCCTGTTCTATTATTGGACATCCTTATTAATATTTATGATACGAATTATATGAAATAACATCCAAAGAAAAAAAAGGCATTTTTGAGTATTTCATTTTCTATTAAAGTGACATTATGCTCATTTTTGCATTGTCAAATAAAGCTTAATTTGTTACGTATTTCAAAAGATTGACTATTATAAAGGTCATTGAGCAAAAAAATAATTATAAAAAATGGCCCGGATAAAATATAAAACTGCCTAAAATGTAAATAGACGGCCCCACTCATTTTATCAATTGAATGTTAGCAGTTAAAAAATTGAAGCTGTGCAAGTCCATTTTGGAAATTCAGGAAGTTAAGATTTACGAAATGCTCAAAAAATGAAATGCAGACAAGTCTTTTATACAAGTTAAGCATGGCAAGGGTTAAAGTGTGCCATGAAAATGATAACTTACTTAACTTCACAACGGTGTCATGTCAAGATTTTAAGCCAGTTTGGTATGATTTAATTTCTTTATAAGGAGAAACATAAGGGGTCAGTTAAATGATTAGATATGATTTAAATTATCATAGCTTTATACATATGTCTACATATAAAACATAGGAAAAAATAATGTTATGATCTTGTGAGAATATTTTATACTAATTTTATATTAACAGTGAGCAGTCAGTGGTGGGGCAGTAAACGTCTAGATTACATGTTGTACTGCCCCGAAGTGTTACATTCATTCCCCGTGCGATCCTTGCCGCCCTTGTTTCACGCCAGTTTCTGGGAGTCCACCGATGTTGTCTCATTTGTGCTGCGACAGGTAAGTTGATTTCTAAACATTTATACAGTGTTGAATAATGTAATTGAAACAACAATATTTGTTTTCTAGAACATGGTTGTAGAAATTTGGCTTTACTTGTCCTTAAACTATAAAAGTAAACGTTGGCACATGGCCAGAAAATATAAGCCGGTAGATATATTTTGAATAGCATCAAAAAAATTTCAATGATCTCTTATAGAAATATGTTTGGTGGTAAAATTAGCAATGTGACAATAATCTTAGTATTAGAAAAGGAGACAAAGATTATTGAAGTAATAAACTAATAACAAAGACAATTAACCTTGACTTTTCTGGTCGCAACCTCTATCAAATTTAAGCCAACACATACGTGGAGTCTGATCATTGTCTTAGCTGTTCGCTATTCAGCAGTTCGCTACAGGTCATTATCTTAATAAAGGTTCATTTAGCTGATTTTATTTTGCTATAAGAAGTATGATTGACAGTTGTTGAAATGTTGTAACTCAAGTTTACATCATTGACAATAGGTACTTCAGCAAGATTTTGGAATGTCTTATGAAGAAGATCTCAGTTCACAGACAATGTCGCCAGTCACAACTGAAGGTCAGCCGAAGGAAAAATGGCAGAAAAGAAGAACTATGTACAAAGTCAGGGTATGTTTTCATGCTAATAATTATAAATAAATCTTTTGATAAAAACGACTGAATTATAACAGACACGTTTTTACCATAGAAAAATTTTAATGTTGAGATCACTGTTTCATGTTATGAAATGGTAAAATTTGGAAAGATATGAAAAACATAGTTAAAGATAGTATGATTATATACTTATGTGAAAGTAATTGAAAATGTTTTTTTTTTGTATTACTAGCGTATTATAAATATCAAAACTTTTTATCAAACCCTATCACAATGAAGTAGTTAAAAAATCAAATACTATTATTATAATGTTGAAAATAATGATCATTGTGAAATACATTGTATTGCAAAATAAGTCACTCTTGTCTTCTGTAATCGTCTTTCAGAATCTTCAGCCAAATCACCGGGGAAATGATGTCTTGGTGTTAGAAGATAAACCGCAAGTTTTGTCTGCAAAATTTATGTACGGACCATTGGATATGACATCATTGTCAGGGGAAAAGGTGAGAAATAGTTGATGCTGATTTATTAACCCATTGCATGCTTAGTAAAATTGTCGTCTGCATAAAACTTTGTCTGCTAAAGTTTTGAATTTTAGCCAATTTTCTTGAAATTATTAACAAAGTCAAGGATGTCAGTAGGACATGGATGTCCCAACATTCAAGTGAACAAAGAAAATAATTTTACATAGCAAATGACAGTTTCAGTTTACATAAACTAGTATGGTACCAAATAAATATCAAAATATGCAGAAAAATGCTCGTAGTTTAAGCTTAGGTAATTTCATTATAACCTTGGGTCCTGGGCTAAGTATTTTCAATTACTTTGGCATGATATGCATTTAAGTTTACCAGTGTAGGAAGGTTCATCTTGGCATTATTAACATAATTACCTGTTTTTTATTTCAGACGGATATACATGTAATGTCTGCATCAGGGGAATGGACATATATGGGCACTGAGAATACAGATGGTCATGGTCGACTTACTTATACTATCCCACCTGAGAAAAGATTGAGTCAAGGCATTCATCCAGTAAAAATGGTTGTTAGGTAAATAACTAAATATAAAACTTTTTTATGTGTCAATTGAGTTAAGTCTGTTTCTGGTGAACAAGATTTAAATATGTGGAATTTTTATTTCATGTCAGTAAAGTCTGTTTCATGTGCATCAGATTAACCCATACATAATGCGGTACTTTTCATTTTATTGATACCTTCCTGTGGGGTAATATAAGCTTAGCCTAGTGTCTTGTTTCTATCTTTTTGTTAACTCAATAGTATACAAGTAAGGCGGTAGTGATGTTGATATGATTATACGTTGACATCATCTTGGTTCCTGCCATCAAGATGTCATTGTTGTTCCCGCCTACATATAGCGTACGTCTTCCCAACACTTACATTCAACTCAGTTATAAATATCTCAGAAATACATTTAAATACTTATAACAAGAAACATGGCAATGCCATGAAACCAGGTTTTCAATTATCACCATTGTAGATAAATATGTTGTATTTGAAATACAAATACAAGCAACAAACACTGTAACTATGTGCAATGTAAAACATGAATAATGTAGGAGGAATTGCCACTGAAGAAGTGTTCACTATAATATTATGTATAAGGAAAAAAACAAAGGGCCATAATTAGGTCAAAAACTATCCAATCACAAATCCCCGACAATATGTGCCAGGGTGCTTGATGACAAAGCTTCTGTGAAAGTTTGAACAAAATCCGTTGAGAAATGTAGGACGAGTTCAGCACAGAAGAATTTGTTCACTATAATTATATTGATAATTCTGTATAATGAAAAACAAGTTACAAAGTAGACATGAAATAATATATCATATCTTTTTTAAATTACCTCCAAAGATGATATGACCTTTGACTGCCAAATCAAGTTAAAATCATGTAAACAGGATTTTCAATGTTAATGTCACTGTGACCTTGACCTTGGAGCCAGCCATGCGGAACATGCGTTCTGCACGTCATCTTGATGTGGTAAACATTTGTCTGAAGTTTCATCAAAATTCTTCAAAGGGTTGAAGAGTTACAGAGCGGACAGGATTTTCAATGTTAATGTCACTGTGACCTTGACCTTGGAGCCAGCCATGCGGAACATGCGTTCTGCACGTCATCTTGATGTGGTAAACATTTGTCTGAAGTTTCATCAAAAATTCTTCAAAGGTTTGAAGAGTTACAGAGCGGACAGGATTTTCAATGTTAATGTCACTGTGACCTTGACCTTGGAGCCAGCCATGCGGAACATGCGTTCTGCACGTCATCTTGATGTGGTAAACATTTGTCTGAAGTTTCATCAAAATTCTTCAAAGGGTTGAAGAGTTACAGAGCGGACAGGATTTTCAATGTTAATGTCACTGTGACCTTGACCTTGGAGCCAGCCATGCGGAACATGCGTTCTGCACGTCATCTTGATGTGGTAAACATTTGTCTGAAGTTTCATCAAAATTCTTCAAAGGGTTGAAGAGTTACAGAGCGGACAGGATTTTCAATGTTAATGTCACTGTGACCTTGACCTTGGAGCCAGCCATGCGGAACATGCGTTCTGCACGTCATCTTGATGTGGTAAACATTTGTCTGAAGTTTCATCAAAATTCTTCAAAGGGTTGAAGAGTTACAGAGCGGACAGGATTTTCAATGTTAATGTCACTGTGACCTTGACCTTGGAGCCAGCCATGCGGAACATGCGTTCTGCACGTCATCTTGATGTGGTAAACATTTGTCTGAAGTTTCATCAAAATTCTTCAAAGGGTTGAAGAGTTACAGAGCGGACACAATTTCGTTTGACGCCCGCCCATCCGCCCAGCCGCCCATCCGCCCATCCGCCCGCCATACCCCAATCTAATAACCAGGATTTTCAAAATTGAAAACCTGGTTAAAAATGTACAATATGTTCTGTCATTTGATATGTTTATTATTGTTGATTATAAATATTAGACTGATCCAAAGCACAACAAGCATTGAAGGTGCTACCGAAATAATTGAAGTTATGCAGTTTTTTATTATTTCTTAAATATTATTATTATAATTATATTATTTTTAGCTCACCTGAGCTAGCTCAGGGTGAGCTTTTAGGATCGTTGAATGTCCGTCGTCTGTCGACCGTCGTCCGTCCACACTTATTCGTTAACACTCTAGCGGTCACATTTTTGACTCAATCATTATCAAACTTGGTCAGGATGCTTGTCTAGATAATAGCTTGGATGAGTTTGAACATGGGTCATCTTGAATGAAAACTAGAAATGTGTCATCATGCCACGGATGCCCCCGCATGCAGCCAAAATTTCAGATGGTGCATTAATTATTTTTTTCATTTTAAGTTCAAAGCCCTTAAAACTTTTCAATGTTAACACAAACCATTTCCATACAATGTTCAAGGCACTGAAATTATTCAGTCTTAACCTTTTAGAAATAGCATATTGCATATTTGTAGCCAAAATAATGGCTAAAAGAATGAGTGGTGAAACTGAAAGTTCAAAATTTTTCCAACATTCAGGAAAGATAAGTTTGTCTAAAATCATTGAACCATGACCAAATTCAAACTTAAACTGCTTATTCCTAAGATGTATCTATATTATTTTCAAAGTGAAAGAGACATAACTCTGCCAAAAAATCATCAAACCATGACCAAATTCCAACTTGACCTGCCCATTCCTTTGACATATCCATATGTCAAATTAAAGTTGAATATGTGACACTGTTGGGTAGATAATGAACAGAAACTGTAAATTTCATATTATTTTCAAAGTGAAAGGGGCATTACTCTGCCAAAAATCATTGAACCATGACCAAATTCCAACTTGACCTGGGCATTCCCAAAACATATCCTTATGTCAAATTTGAGTTGAATGTGTTGTACCATTGGGGAGATAATAAACAGAAACTGAAAATTTCATATTATTTTCAAAGTGAAAGGGGCATAACTCTGCCAAAAATCATTGAACCATGACCAAATTCAAACTTGGCCTGGGCATTCCAAAAACATATCCATATGTCAAATTTGAGTTGAATGTGTTGTACCATTGGGGAGATAATAAACGGAAACTGAAAATTTCATATTACTTTCAAAGTGAAAGGGGCATAACTCTGCCAAAAATCATTGAACCATGACCAAATTTGAACTTGACCTGGGCATTCCAAAAACATATCCATATGTCAAATTTGAGTTGAATGTGTTGTACCATTGGGGAGATAATAAACGGAAACTGAAAATTTCATATTACTTTCAAAGTGAAAGGGGCATAACTCTGCCAAAAATCATTGAACCATGACCAAATTTGAACTTGACCTGCGCATTCCTTTGACGCATCCATATGTCACGTTTGAGTTGAATGTGTTGTACCTTGAGGGAGATAATGAACGGAAACTGAAAATTTCATATTATTTTCAAAGTAAAAGGGGCATAACTCTGCCAAAAATCATCGAACCATGACCAAATTCGAACTTGACCTGTATTTTTTCACGACATATCAATATGTCAAGTTTGAGTTGATTGTATTGTACCGTTGGGGAGATAATGAACGGAAACTGAAAATTTCATATTATTTTCAAAGTAAAAGGGGCATAACTCTGCCAAAAATCATCGAACCATAACCAAATTCGAACTTGACCTGTATTTTCTCATGACATATCCATATGTCAAGTTTGAATTGAATGTGTCCAACCGTTCTTAAGATAATGAACGGAAACTGAAATTTCATATTATTTTCAAAGTAAAAGGGGCATAACTCTGCCAAAAATCATCGAACCATGACCAAATTCGAACTTGACCTGTATTTTCTCATGACATATCCATATATCAAATTTGAGTTGAATATGTCCAACCGTTCTTAAGATAATGAACGGAAACTGATGATGACGGAATGACAGAATGACGGAAGGACGGAATGACGGAACAGGGTAACACTATATGCCCCGGCCATTACATGGCGGGGGCATAAACATAGAGAGGTCAAGTTTGTGAATGGAGACCATTTTGTCATCATTTATTGATGGATCGTAATGCAAATGATAACTACCATGACTACAAGTGTGACACATGTAATTAACGTTAATATTTGCAAGGTCAAGGTCTCTTGAGATGATGAAATATCTCAATATTTTCTGGATATTGGCCAGAGCACAATTATCTCATATATGCAGGGCTCCAGATAATTTTTTAGGGCAATGAGTATTTACCCATTGATTTTTTTGTGAATGAGTAAAACTTGAAATCTGAAATTTGGCAGGAGTATTTTTACTCCTTGAAATGTATGGAAAAGAGTAAAACATTAATTATGCTTATTATCCCCCGCCGAAAAATTTCGGCGGAGGATGTAGAAATAGTCTCCGTCCGTCCGACCTTCCGTCTGTCCTTCCGTCCGTCCGTCCTTCCATCCGACATTTTTGTCTGGAGCATATCTCTAAAAGTATTTGAGTTATCAACTTGAAACTTCATATGTGGATAGACCTCATTGAGGAGGAGTGCAGTGCACAAGAATGATAACTCTACCTTGCATGATTTTTGAGTTATTGCCCTTTGTTATTTTTCAAAATTGATTTTTGTCCAGAGCATAACTCCAAAAGCCTATGAGATATTAACATGAAACTTCATAGGTGCATAGATCTCACTCAGGAGGTGTGCAGTGCACAAGAATGATAACTCTACCTTTCATAATTTTTGAGTTATTGCCCTTTGTTATTTTTCATACCTAATTTTTCACCTGAGTGGAGCATAACTCAAAAAGCGTTTGAGATATCAAGATGAAATGTCATAGGTGGATAGATCTTATTGAGGAGGAATGTTGTGCACAGGAATGATAACTCTTCCCTATACAATTTTTGAGTTATTGCCCATTGTTTTTTTTTCATGCTTTTTTGTCCAGAGCTTATCTCAAAAAGTATTTGAGGTATCAACTTGAAACTTCATAGGTGGATGGATCTCCTCAGGAGGAGTGCATTGCACAAGAATGATAACTCTACCCTGCATTATTTTTGAGTTATTGCCCTTTGTTATTTTTCAAAATTATTTTTTGTCCAGAGCATAGCTCAA